GACGTATCGCGGACAAAAGCACGAGATCCCCAGACCCGGAACACCGACGCATCGCCAACCTTTCCCGTCCAACGCAGTGTCTGCGAAGTCTCCGGAACGGAGACACGAGGCCAGAGGTTGAGCTGATGCGCAGCGTATCGGACCGCAAACGGCCACAGAAAGTGGGGGGCAGCCGCATGGATCAAGGAGGTACGAGCGACTTCCATGACCAAGCCAATGCGGCGCTCAGCAACCCCATTCTGCTGTGGAGAGGCCGGAAGCGTGAACGACTGCTCAATGCCCTCCCCCTGACAGAAGGCCCTCAAGAGGTCGGAGGAAAACTCCCCACCTCTGTCAGAGTGCAGACGCAGGACAGGAAAGTCCGAGTGGAACCTCTCGCTGAGCTGAAGACGAGCAGCGCGAATCCAAGGGATCAAAACATCAGGGACTTCACCCTTGGTGCGCAAGGGGAAGACCGTGGTGTAGCGCGAGTAGTCTTCAACAACTATCAAGAAGTACCTCTCGTGACCCTGTCCACGGACGCGGGCTGGGCCCCACACGTCCATGTGGAGGGTCTGCAGGGGAGCAGTCGTCGGGGGAAACGAGGAGGAGTGAGGAGCGGCGCGCTGCCGCCCCTCGACACAGGGAAGACACGGAGGAGCAGGCGAGGGTGGGAGGGGAGGGAGAACCCTGGGAAGACCAGAGACAAGGTACCGGGAGTGCATGCCACGAAGGCGCTGCACTGACGGGTGACCAAGGCGGTGGTGCCAGAGGACGGTCTCGTGCGCCAGGGAGCGACACGAGCAGGGGGCCGACAGCTGACCTGACGCAGACGCAGACGCAGCTACCTGAGGGGACTCAGTGGTCAGTGTGTACAGGTCCGACCCCGGCTGCCGAGTGAAGGTAGCCAGGTGGCGACCCGTCCGAGCACACGTGCAGTGTGTCACGCGCTCGTAGGCAGGGGTGAACTGGTGGACACCCCCGTCCTGGAGCGCACGACCCGCCACCAAGTTCGTAGAGAACGAGGGGAGGTAGAGACCTGACAGTGTGCCCGACGGGACCGCAGGACAAGGGAGGACAGTGGAGGAGGTCGCAATGACCGGACCCCCAGAGGGGTCAGCGAGGGAGACTGCAACCGGCCGAGCAAGCTGCTCAAGGGCAGTGCGGTCACGAAAGAAACAGCGGGAAGCACCTGAGTCCAGTGTGAAGGTGTGTAGTGCCTCAGTAGACGCAGTACCAGAGGGCGCAGACTCACGAGTACCTAGAGCAGCAGCCTCACCAGCACCTGGGGCAACAGACACACTAGCACCTAGAGCGGCAGCCTCACCAGCACCTGAGGCAACAGACACACGAGCACCTAGTGCGGCAGCCTCACCAGTACCTAGAGCAGCAGACTGGATACCGGGGTCAGGCGGCACACTCAGGTGACAGGCACCCTCAGCACTAGTAGACAATGCATACATGGCAGTGAGGAGAGCATCATAGTCAAGAGCAAAGATATCTACCCTCTGCCTAAGCAGCTCCAGCCAGGAGGGGAGCTCAGCGTCGTCGCCAAACTCTGTACGCCAAGCGTCGCTCAGACGGGCGAAGCAGCGGGAATCTGTGTGACTAGGTGTCCCGCAAGGCTGACCAGTCCGGACACCTGTGCGAATGACGTACGGGCAGCGAGCAGGACTCAGTGACCCGCTACTCTGAGCGTACCACTCACGAAGCTGCTGGGGCGAAAGAGCCTTGCGGGGACGACGCTGCAGCTGCACCTGGCCACTACCAGAAGCTCCCGAACGACCCACTCCAGAGCGACTCCCACTACGGTCACCCCGACAGCCCCAACTAGAGTACCACTCACGAAGCTGCTGGGGCGAAAGAGCCTCGCGGGGACGACGCTGCAGCTGCACCTGTCCACGACCAGAAGCTCCCGAACTACCCACTCCAGAGCAACTTCCACTACGGGCACCCCGACAGCCCCAACTAGCGTACCACTCACGAAGCTGCTGGGGCGTGAGGGACTCACGCGCACGGCCCTGGAGCTGCATCTGGCCACGCCAGGAGCAGCAGTAGCAGCAGTAGCGGCAGTAACAGCAGTAGCAGCAGGAGCAGTAGCAGTGGGAGCAGTGAAAGCAGTAGCAGCAGTAGCAGCGGTAGCAACGCGGGCAGGGTAGTGCTCACCAGTGGTGGGAAGGGCAGGCGCAAGACGGCGGCGACAGCGGGGCCGCTGCAGCTGCAGGGCGTGGCCGGGCCGCGGCAGGGAGCTCCGCGGCAGCTGCTGCAGGGCGGGGTGGGGCCGCGACGGCAGCTGCTCCAGGGGCCAGGGGCGGCTGCTCCAGGGGCCAGGGGCGGCTCCTGCAGTGGCGGCTGCTCCAGGTGGCCAGGGGCGGCTGCTGCAGGGGCGGCTGCTCCAGGGTCCAGGGGCGGCTGTAGGTGCGGCTGCTCCAGGGGCCAGGGGCGGCTGCTGCAGTGGCGGCTGCTCCAGGGGCCAGGGGCGGCCGTCCCAAGGGCGGGCGCGGGGTAGGGCAGGGCGCCGCGGCGAGCAGGGGCGACTCCGCGCGGGTCCCAGTGGCGACGCGCGGGTCGCGCGGTGGCGTCGCTACGAGGCAGGGGCGACGCGCGCGGGTCCCGCAGAAGCGCCGCGACGAGGCGGGGGCGACGCGCGGGTCCCGCAGGGTCGCCGCGACGAGGCAGGGGCGACGCGCGGGTCCCGCAGGGGCGTCGCGACGAGGCAGGGGCGACGCGCGGGTCCCGTAGGGGCGTCGTGACGAGGCAGGGGCGACGCCCGGGTCCCGCAGAGGCGTCGCGACGAGCAGGGCGACGCGTCGCGGGGTCCAGGGGCCGCGCCTCGGGGTCCAGGGGCGGCTGCGCGGGTGCAGAGCAGGCCCGCGCGCGGCCTGCAGGGCAGGGCGGCAGGGTGGCGCTCGAGGGCGCGGGTAGGCAGGCGCTCAAGGGCGCGAGTAGGCAGGCGCTCGAGGGCGCGGGTTGGAAGGCGCTCGAGGGCGCGGGTAGGCAGGCGGACGGCACACGGGGCTGCACGGGGCCGCGAGGGGCTGCGTGCGAGGCTAGTGGGCAGCGCGCAGCTAGCAACAGGGCGCACGACGGCGCTAGAAGGGGCGCTCAACGGCGCGGGTAGGGGCGCACGACGGCGCGAGGTACTATCAGACACGGTCGCGCAAGGGCGCGGCGGAACGGTGGGCCCTAACCAACGTCGGTCCTAGGTCCTGACCTAGGCGTCGGATACCATGTTAGAATGTAGAACTGAACGAGAATGAATGAACTAGGCAGCAGGGTGATACAAGTAGGAAACCCTAGCAATGTTGTACCCCCTAAGGCTAAACCCACTATAGCCTACACAATATAAACATGTATAATGTTTGACAGCTTGGCTGCCTCCTCTTCACTGCGGTCACCTGCAGGCCCGACCTATCCTACATTTCGAGCCAGCTCGCTCAGTACGCTAAGCGACCTGAAGGGGAGAACATGTTGGATTTACAGCGCGCCCTGCAGTACTTCATCTCCACGCCGCACATTGGCCTCACCTATTCAACCCTCACGACCCGCACCTTCAGCCTCGTTGGCTACGTGGACGCTGATCATGCCGCTGATCCTGCGAATCGACGGGCCCGAACCGGTTTTCTCTTCCACCTCGAGCCCACCGGACCAATTTTATGGAACTCACAGAAGCAGGAAATGGTGGTGCTCTCCTCTGCTGAAGCCGAGTTCATCGCCGCCACGTCAGCTGTCCGCGAAGGACTCTACCTCCAAGAGCTGCTCCAGGAGGCGAAAATTGCGACATCTACGTACTTCAAACTTCACTGCGACAACCAAAGCGCGATCAAGATCGTAAACAAACCCGGCTTCGTCAACCGCACCGGTGACATGGCAGCTGACTTCCTCACCAAGAAGTTGCCACGTCAGCAGTACCAGCACTGCGCGATCATCTGCGGTATAACCAAGCGCGTCAAAACTTCGCTCCTCCAGGAATGAAGAGGAGTGTTACGATATGGAATTGTTGCATAATATTCTTGTAGTAACAAAGCCCTAACGCGAAGATGACTGCAGAGAGGACGAAGACCAAGAAATGCCTTCGAACAGTTACCGTGGCGCGTATTGTTACCGAACCGCACGGTTGGCAGGCCCTCCGATTGGTTTTGAAGAAAGCTGGAAAATCAGTGTTGTCCAATAATTTTATGCTGGAAATCAGTGAAATCTGCTTAGAAATGCAATTTCTCACTATAAAATCACTATAATCTCAGAAAACAAGGCTGATCAATCAGCCTATGTACGGAATTTTGTGCTGAAAATCAGTCAAATCAGCGTAAGAAGGCTGACACCTGAGGCTCTGTTCCCGATCTATATTAGCCGTAAGGGGATTGTACACCCTCAGATTACATGGCTCGCATTCCACTGTATACTTACATAAACCCTTGTACCGCATTGTATTAATCACTTCTGTCGAGTTCAAATCCCCTTCTTATGACAGAGTTCGTACCCTACTTCACTAGCAAACTTCCGCTGCTACACTACTTGCGATCAACCTGAGACGACTCTATAAATACGTCATTTCAGATTCTAACAGCCAAGACTCTGTACGAGTCGCATCCGCTGTCGTTTTTTCTTCTAATTTGGTGTTACAAACCCTGAAATCAGTGGTAGTGAAATCTGAAAAGTAAGCCCTAGTTGGAAGGCAACTCCCAAGGCAACCTTGATCAATAACATCAATTTGAGCTTAGCCGTTGAGCATTCAGGGGCACACGATGCAGGGCAGCTGGTAAGGAACTTAAACTTACACCAGCAAGCCTACGTTCCATTGCTCCACCCATCAAGCTGCCTGATTGCTGGGCTTGCAGCGCTTGCTACCACCAGCACTGCTCACACCCTTCCTCCCAGACTCGCGTGCCACCCTTCCAGACCCTTCCCTGCCACACTGCTGCCAGCTGTCACAGCCTTGCTTCCCCCGCCCTCTGCTGGTGTGGGCTGGGACCTTCCAGCTGCTTCACTTGATGCCTTTGCTGGTGGCTTACTCACATCCATCAAGCTGCCTGCTTGCTGCACTTGCTCCCACCAGCACCAGTCACACCCTTCCTCCCAGCCTCGCTTGCCGTCCTTCCAGACCCCTTGCCTACTGCACTGCTGCCAGCTGCCACAGCCTTGCTTTCCCTGTCCTCTGCTAGTGTGGGCTGGGGTCTTGCTGCCTCAGCTGGTGCCTCCTCTGACTCTGTTGTGTCACCACCCGCTATACTCACATCTGAGAGCTTGCGTCTGGAGCCTGCAAACCTGGGAAGGGAGCAGGCGAAGGTAGAAAGAGGGGAAACGAGGGGTGTGAGGTGGGAAACAGCAAGGGAGGGGAGCGGGGGAAACGGCAGCAGGGAGGGGCGAAACAGACACAAGGGGTGAGCAGGGTGGGGGTGGGAGGAAGAGGGGAAACTGAGGACAGTGATGGGGAGGGAAGAGGAAGGTGAAGTAGACTCAAAAGGCTAAACTTAGACAGGGAGGAAACTTGAGGCAGGTAGGGTGTACATGTGGGCACAGGTTCCAGTATTGCCAGAATGAATGGTCAACTTGAAAGGACATACCTCCTATTACAATCTGTTTCATTATAAAAAAAAGGGAAACGGGGAGGTAATCAAGAAAGTCTGCCAGCATGCCCAGGGGAAAGAGAAGCTAATTTTCCTGGGCATAAATTGACCAGAGGACTGGGCCCCGCAAACATGTATACCCACAAACTGAAAGAAGACATCCATGACATGGGCATGCCACATGAACAACCAATTGCTTCGTTCAGTGCTTCAAAGCCTGAAGCTCCTCGCTGTTCAGCAGCCCAGCTGCTCACCTGAACAAACAAACTGCTTTTTCACCTGGAGCAGCAGTCCCTGTGGTTGTCCCTTCTGCCAGGAAGCGGCGGAAGTTGAGTGGCTGCTTTACAAACACCTGAGGGGAGGGAATGAAAGCACAGAAGCAGACATGACTTCCTTGTTGATTAAAGAGCTACACTTCGTTTAGGAGGAAGCACAAACAACTATGTTTAAACAAAAAACACCTGGAGGGGCAGCTGAGACCCGCACAGAGAAGAGAGGCAGGAAGAAGAGGCAGGCAACGGCAAAGAGAGATTAACGTTTGGAATCAGCAGCATAGCAATCAGAATGCATATCAGCGATGCGTCTCGATTCTCCAGATGTCCACCAGGGTTCAGCCCTGATAATAAGGACCACAACCACAACCCAACTCTCACAAGGGCACCTCCGCCAATAGTACATATGAGGTGACTTGTGAGTTGACTTACAAGCGTTGTGAGTTGACTTACAAGCAGCCCCACCAGTAGTAAGCTCGCACCTTGGCCACTAGGTGGTGAGTGTGCAGGTGGTGAATGCGCAGGTAACGGTCCAGTACTGGAGGTGTGGTACGAGGGGAGGGGGTCGGGAATGTGATGAAAAGGTAATAGTCAGGCAGAAGAGAGTGGAGGGGTGGTGGAGGAAGAACGGGGATGGGGGTTAGGCAAGTGTGCAGGTGGTGAATGAGCAGGTAACGGTCAAGACATGTACAGGTAGTGGTTGCACAGATAGCAGTGGAGGGTGGGAGGAGTGAGGGAGGCATAGGGTTTGGGGTTCGGGAAAAAGGCAAGTGATGAGCGGGGTGAGTGGGGTTAGCAGGCCAAACCTGGTGGAATGAGAGTGGTGAGGAGGGGCAGGGAGCAGGGAAGTAGCAGGCGCCAACAAACCTAGGAGAGGAACTTTTAGAAAAAAACATTCAAACACATTATAATCTTCATGTATACAAATTACGTAAGGTCACAATATTCCACAGAACTCATAGGGACAATCGACATATTCTGCCGGATTTGTCTCTTGAATGAGAAGGAACAAGAAAGTGGTCATTTCGGATTACTGTCCACATTCTCGAAAACACCATAGAGAACAAGATGCTCGTTTCCTAGCTTACGCATTATGTGAGTCATTATACGAAGTTCAAGTGTGTATTTTCGGTCATTATACGAAGTTCAAGTGTGTATATTCGCGTATGGTCAAGCTGATTCCGGAAAGACACACACGATGTTCGGAAATGTCACACAAGAATGCTTCGAAGTTATTTACATATCCATCAAGCATCAAGCATATCTGAGCACAGCTGCAGAATTTCAAGATTTAAGCCAGTTTGCCACTACGCGAAACTGGCCCAGATCCAAATTTTAGTTGAACCTTAAAATATGCTTGATGAATATACGGAAACTTCAAGAAACATTCTTGTATGGGATTTCCGAACATCGTGAATGTCTTCCCGGAAATAGATTAGCCATCCGCGAACATGCAAGGTTGAACGGTATATAATGTTGACCTCACACGTATCTAATCAAATAACACATACTATATTTACATACCTGTTATCTGTTATCAGCACTTGTTATACATTTAGACAACTCTTGACACATAATCAGCATTGTCAAAATTCTTCTCTCCCTCGTACCCTGATTATCCATGACAAACAAAATGTTGAAATACTTTGCTCGGTCCCTGCAGATTACCCTAATTAGCATGCCACGCAGCCAGACAGAAACTCGTAGGGATGAGGAGTATGTGTGCTGTGCACAGTGCACACAGCACATATACTTACCAGAGACGTCACAAAAAGCAGAAGCATACCATACAATGTCGTAGCACATGGCACGAGCAGTAGGAAATGGCATACCTCAAGAGACCATGGGGGGCAGCGATGGGTGGATGGCGGGCAATCGAATGAAAACCGCGCACCCGCCCTTGAACACACCAGAAACGCGACCTGCACCGTCCATGTGGTGTGTGCAGAGGGAGAGGAATGGAGGGGGGGAGTAAGGGAGGCGAAAAGAGCAGCGGAGGGGAGGGGAGGGGAGAAGAGGGGAGTGGAGAGGAGGGAAGGGGAGGGGGAGGGAGGGGATGAGATGGAACGGAAGGAGACAGGAGAGGAGAGGAGAGGGACGGGAGAAGGGAGCGAAGGGAGGGGAAATGAGGGGAAATGAGGGGGAGTGGAAGCAATGAACTACGTATCGCCAATCAATGTGCAAAAGTGAGAATTATGAGTTGGGAAAAAGTCACTACTGTGTGCTACTGCCTGCCAACTAATGAGAGTGCAAACGGGAGAAGCAGGCTAATGCGGTGGCAGTGCTACTGCCAACCAATAAGCATGCAAGCTGTAGCAGCAACTCAATGTGGTGCGGATGCTTGCTTTTTTTCTTCTCTTTTTTGCTTTTTTTTTCGTTTTCGAAGGGCACCGAGCAGCAACGGGTGCGTACAAGTGAGAATGAATCCTCCACCACAACATCCTCTTTCACACTTCAACAACCTCACGTGTGGCCTTATTGCAGCTTGTACTTCCATTATCCACACCTCCACACTGATATGATAGTACTTCAGACACATACACTGCCATACCTAGTGGAACCCGGTGGTATCTGGTAGCAGCTGCGCACAATGCGTCAGATGCACCAGCTTCATCTCCCCGATGCCCGTTCCAATCGTCGCCGCACTGCACTCCTCACCAACCCCACGGCTGCTCCAGACAGCAGCGGGCGAGCTAATAGGTAGGAGCCCAGCGAGACCACCCTGAGGGGCCGTGGCTACAGCAGCAGGTCAAAGAGACGCAGCGAGTTGTCCACACAGGCTGTTACTGCTTCGTGCATCCACTGCCTTACCTGCCTGCCAGCAGGGTGTGTTGTACCTGGTAGCACCTGGTTATACCACATCCCACCACAGCCACTGACTCACCGTGTGTCAGATAGACCAGCTTGATCTCCCACATGCCTGTCCCGACCATCACTGCACTCCTCCCCACCACCCTTGTTTCAGACAGCAGCAAGCGAGCGAATCAGCACGGAACCTAAAAGACGACTTTCATGGGTGAGGGGCTGAAGCAGCGGATTAACGAGACATAAAGAGTTACCCAGACAGGAGGTGATGAGGCGTGCCGGGTGGCGTGGCGTGTGCTGATGTGGCACACCACAGTCACGTGCTTCGGCACCACCACTCTGTATGGGCTTGGGAGCGGCTGGGGAGGACTGAGTAGGGTTGGTTCTGGGAAAAGAAAGGGGGTGGGGAGATTGTGCAGAGAATTAGGGGAGGCAGGGGTGCTTTGGTGGCACCAGGTTGTACAAGCTAGTGGTTGGGGGGCAGGTCGTGAGGGAGGAGGGGGGGTGGAGGAGGTGGAATGGGCTGGTTTTGATAATGGGGATGAGAATTTAGAGATTTGAGGGAGAGAAAGGACGCGGAACGGAAGTTACTGGCTCCGTCACGCCCAGAGACACGCACACAGAAGAGAGGGAGGAGGGAGAGGCAGGCAATAGCAAAGGGGAGATTCATGTTTACAGAGAGTCTAAGGGCCAGCACAGCAACGAGCGACTAAGCAGAGGGTGTGCAATCAACAGAACAACGATCAGAACGCATATTCAGCGGCACTTTGGAATCCAGATATCTACCATCATTCAGCCCTGCAGCTGCTAGTATTGACCACAACTACTACTTAACTCTCACAAGGGTACCTCCACAAAGAGTACATACAGGGTGACTTGTGAGTTGTTAGGTGGACGCAACTTGGCGACTAGGAGGCGAGTTGTGCAGGTGGTGAATGCGCAGAAAACGGTCAAGACCTGGGAAAAGTGGGAGCAGATGGAATGCGACAGGGTGAAGGGGCAACGAAATGGGGGTGTATGTAGGAAGAACGGTGGTTGCAATTAGGTGAGGGCTAATTGCTGCTACTTGTCATGCACACGTACGATTGTGGTTGCGCAAAACGTTTCTGGAAGTTATTCCACGTTCCATGAAGCGGATCTTCAAGCTGAGCTACAAAAGTTTTAGATCTAAGACGGTTTCCCGTAATGCCAAACCGGCTGAGATCCAAACCTTTTACAGATTAGCCTGCAAATATGCTTCATGGAATTAGGAATAACTCCACGAAACACTCTTCTAAAGATATTCTTTCCTTAAAACTTGTCAACTGAACGTGTTACACAATCAGATATCTCTTAAAACGTAACTGCCTGCAATGTTCTATGTGAAAATACCCTGTCAAACTTGTAATCTCCCTGATGCCGGAATGAGTAATTTCCTTTTCCTCCTCATTTAGGGGACGGACCTGGCAAAACACCCTGATTGTTGTAACAAGCAGCCAGACGAGAACTGATAGATCGGGATGGGGAGTATGACTGCTGTGTGCAGTACACACCGCACACATACATGCTAGAGACACCACAAAAGGTAGTAACATACCATATGATGCCGAAACACATGGCACGAGCAGTAAGACATGCTGCAAGAGACAACGAGGGGCAGCGATAGGTGCATCGCAAGCGAGCGAATGGAACGTGCACATTCGGCCTTGAACACACCAGCGACGCGACCTACACCATGCATGAGGTGTATGCAGAGGGGAGAAGAATGGAGGGATGAGGGGAGGAGGGGAGTGGAGAAGAGGGGAGGGGAGAAGAGGGATAGGAGGGAAGGAGAGGGGAAGGGATGGGATGCGATGGAATGGAAGGGGACAGGAGGAGAGGGGAGGAGAAGCTGTAAAAACAACTCAATCTGGTGCAAGTGCTTGTTTTGTTTTTAGTTTTCAAAAGAAAACGAGTAGCGACGAGAGCAGAAGTGAAGGATCAATCCTTTACCGCCTCATCACCTTTCACACTTCAACTGCCTCAAGTGTGACATCATTGCAGCTTTCTGGCACCTGGTCTGGTAGCACCTGGTAACACCTGGTAGCACTACATCCCAGTCACAGCCACTGACTCACCATGAGACAAATCCACCAGCTTCATCTCCCCCAAGCCCGTCACCACTGCCAGTTTCATCCCATCAGCACTGCTGGGCCAGAGAGCAGCAAGCGAGCGGAAGGCCACGGAGCCGAGAGAGACGACTCCGAGGGGGCGTGTGGCTGCAGCAGCAGGTCAAAGAGACGCAGCGAGTTGTCCACACAGGCTGTTACTGCTTCGTGCATCCACTGCCTTACCTGCCTGCCTGCCAGGTAAGTGTGTTGTACCTGGTAGCACCTGGTTGCACCACGATCATTGACTCATCTCCCACCCGCCCGTCCGGACCGCCACCGCACTGCACTCCTCCCCACCTTTGCTCCAGATAGCAGCAAGCGGGCGAATGGGCACGGAGCCCCGCGAGACAACTTTTAAGGCTGCAGCAGCAGGTCGAAGAGGCGCAGGCGCAGCGGGATGACCAGGCAGGCGGTGACAAGGCGCATGCCAGGTGGCATGCGCTGACGTGGCACATCGCTGTCACTTGCTTCGGCGCAACGACACCGTATGGGCTTGGGAGGGGCTGGAGAGCGATTTTTGTAGGGTTGGGTTTGGGAAAAGAAGGGGAAAAGATTGGGAAGAGAATTAAGAAAGGCAGGGGTGCTTCGGTGGCACCAGGTTGTACAAGCTAGTTGTCGGGGGGCAGTTCGTGAGGTAGGGGGGGGTGAGGGAGGAGGTGGAATGGGCTGGTTTTGGGAAGGGGGATGAGAATCCAGAGAAAGGACGCGGAACGGAAGTTACTGGCTCCATCACGCCTATTGTACCTTCCATCACTCCACGTATCAAGCTGCATGCTTGCTGCGCTTGCTACCACCAGCAGCATTCACACCCTTCCTCCCAGCCATTCCAGACCCCCTCCCTGTCACCCTGCAGCCAGCTGCCGCAAACTTTCATTCGCCACCCTGTGCAGGTGTTTGCTGAGACCTTCCAGCTGCTGCTGCCGCTACTGGTGTCTTCTCTGCCTCTGGAGATTGAGAGGGGAGAGGCCAGAGGGAGGGGGAAACGAGGGGTGGTCAGAAACAGCAAGGGAGGGGAAACAACAGTGGGAGGGGCGAAACTGACGAGGGTGGGAGATGCCGGGAGGGTAAGAAGGGGGGTAGGATGAGGAGAAATGGAAGGCAGTGAGGGGCGCGGGGTGGGGGGGTGGGGTGTGAAGGAAGGGAAAAGCAGGGGTAGATCCAATGGTAGGGACGGGTTCCTGTGGTCAAGGTGGTTGTCCCTTCTGGCAGAAAGCAAGAGGAAGTTGAGTGGCTGGTTGAGAAACAACTGTGAGAGCGCAAAGAAAGCACAGAAACAGAGATACTTTCGTCTTGATTAGAAAGTAGCAAAAGTAAGGAAGAAGCAAAAGTAACTATGTGTAGTTGAAAAACACCTGGAGGGACAGCTGAGACACGCACAGAGAAGAAAGGCAGGAAGAAGAGGCAAGCAACGGTAAGAAGAAGAAGACTAACGTTTTGGAGAGATTCAAAGAGCCAGCATTGACCTACGTTTGTAGTGGCTGTGCAATCAACAGCACAGCAACGAGAATGCATATTCAGCGATTCGTCTTGGTTCTCCAGATGTCTGCCGAGGTTCAGCCCTGCTAGTAAGGGCCACAACCACAACTCAACTCTCACAAGGGCACCTCCGCCAATGGTACATACGAGGTGACTTGTGAGTTGACTTACAAGCAGCCCCACCAGTAGTAAGCTGGACGCACCTTGGCCACTAGGCGGCGAGTGTGCAGGTGGTGAATGCGCAGGTAACGGAACAGTCCTGGTGGAACAGTCCTGGTGGTGGGGGTACGGGGGAAGGGGGGAGGAGAAGGGGAAGGGATGTGATAGAAAGGTAGAGTCAGGCAGAAGAGAGTGGAGAGGTGGTGGAGGGAGAACAGGCATGGGGGTTACTCAAGTGTGCAGGTGGTGAATGTGCAGGTAATGGGCAAGCCCTGGTGTAAGAGTGGGAGCCGACAGATTGCGGAAGAGCGTGTGTGGGAAGAGCGGAGGTGGGAATCAGGTGACGCATGTTTGCTGTTGCTGCACACGTACATGTGGTGGTTGCGCAGATAGCAGCAGAGTCGTGGGAGGAGCGAGGGGAGCAACGGGGGTTCGGGGCTAGGTAAAACGCAAGTGATGAGCAGAAGGTGGCAGCCCAAACCTGGTGGAATGAGATCGGTGTGGGCGGAGAGCAGGGAAGTGGCAGGCAGCAAGAAACATTGCATAGGAACTTAGAAAAACTCATTAAAACACAGTATGGTCGCCAAGCATACAAATAGCTTAACGTCACAATATTCCACAGAATTTGTAGTGACAACTGCCGGGTCCGTACCTTGAGTGAGGACAAAAAAGAAATTTGTCATCCCGCAATGGTTACCCACATTCTTGAAAACGACATAGACAACAAGATAAATGTTCCAAATCTAGACTAGACATATCCTTAATAATACTCTGTACTGACCGAGCAAGGATTCAACATTTTGTCAGTCACAAATATGTAGATAGAACTTTAGTGAAACTACAAGCTAAACAGGATATTCTCACCTGTAACAACACCGCTGACAGTTGTGTTCCAATATGTATCTGAATATTTAAAAAGTGCAATTGACTGGTGCAAGGTGCAAGGTAAGCATATAAAAAGCATGTACTACTTAGATAGCTTATGAGTTGTGTCAGCCGTTACACTGTCCTCATTAAACATTTTCACGTCTGCATATTCGCGTATGGCCAAACTGGATCCGGCCTTGAAAAGGGGAAAAATTCACCAAGAGGTGCTTCGGGACCAGAGCCAGTCTCGGCATACGTGAAAATGCATACGTGAAATTGCACGATGAACGCAGTGTAGTAGCTTACATAACACAACCTTAGGTAAATAACACACACCAGTCAAAAGGGGCAGCGATCGGTTGAATTCAACATACCGCGAAAGGCCACAAGGGGCAGTGATGAGTGCATGGCACGTAAGCGAATGGAGGGGTGCCCCTGAACACACCAGCGATATGACCTGCACAGTGCATGTGTTACGCGCAGAGGAATGAGGAAAGGAGGAGGGGAGGAGGGGACAATGCAGATGGGCGAAACAGGCTAATGCAGTGGCAGAACTGCTTGCAACCAATGAGCCTGCCAGCTGTAGGATCAACTTTTACCGTGCAGTCCTTGTGTTTTTGTTTTACATCGAGATGATAATACTTCGTACACTGCCACACCTAGTGGCACATGGTGGCACGTAGTGAAACTTCATCCCCCAATCGCAGACACTCAGTGTGTCAGACGTACTAGCTTTATCTCTCCCATGCCTGTTCCACTTGTCACCGTACTACACCTCACCAACCCTACAGCTGCTCCAGACAACAGCGAGCGAGCTAATAGGTAGGAGCCCAGCGAGACCACCCTGAGGGGAAGCAGCTGCAGCAGGTCAAAGAGACGCAGCGAGTTGTCCACACAGGCTGATACTGCTCCGTGCATCCACTGCCTTACCTGCATCCACCTTTGCTGCAGACAAGCAGCAAGCGAGCAAATCGGCACGGAGCTCAGAGACGACTTTCAGGAAATGAGGCTGCAGCAGTAGGTCGAAGAGACTCACCGTGTGTCAGAACAACCAGCTTGATCTCCCCCACGCCCGTCCCGACCATCGCTGCACTGCACTCCTCCCCACCACCCTTGTTTCAGACAGCAGCAAGCGAGCGAATCGGCACGGAGCAAGTTGCCCAGACAGGCGGTGACGAGGCGTACCGGGTGGCATGCACTGACGTGGCACACCGTTGTCACGTGCTTCACCACACCGTAGGGGCTTTGGAGGGGCTGGGGACGGATTTGAGTAAAGTCGGGTTTGGGAAAAGAAGGGGGGAAAGATAGTACAGAGAATTAGGGGAGGCAGGGGTGCATCGGTGGCACCACGTTGTACAGGCTAGTGGTTGGGAGGCAGCTCGTGAGGGAGGAGGTGGGATGGGCTGGTTTCGGGAAGGAAGATGAGTATGCAGAGGATTGAGGGAGAGAAGGGCCGCCGCCACACCGTATGGGAACAGGAGCCGCCAGCGATAGGCAGGGGGGTGGGGGGGTTTGGGAAGAGAAAGGTCGGATAGAGAATCGAGGGAAGGGAAGAGAAAAGGAAGGTCTGACTTTGAAAAAAAGAAGGGGCAGTGCAAGGAAGGGAAGAAGGAACCAAAAGCGGCTAGAGGCACTTTGAAAAAAGATAAAAGGGGCAGTGCAAGGTCACAGAGGGAGACAGAGAGAGGCAAGTGCACCCACCAGCTTGGCCTCCCATCTGAGTGTACTGTGTACCCGTCTCGGACGTCCCACACTGTCGGATCCGAGTTTTGCGGTAATTCCCAGTCGGGCACGTTACTGATGGCAGTATGAAAAGCAGCAAGCTAATCAACCTATGTTTCTTATGCATCCATGACCACGACCTAACACAATCGAGCTGCAAGCTCCCGTTTTTGTTCCCCACGACTGATCTCAACCCCCTTATCCTTTTCATGCCCGAGTGCTGCTCACCCTTTAACTCTCCGCACTGAATTTCTCCGGTCAAATTGGTTGGTCAAATTGTCCACACATAGAGCATGCACTTGGTCCAACCACGCTGCTGTGTTGCAGCATTTGCCATGCCAAGGAACAACAACACGTTTGTGTACACCATCAGCTGCGAAAATTTAACACGATAAGGAGGGTAATGATAGATAACGAAACAAATTAACGTATGTTGTTGATGGAGGTTACGAGGTCTGGGAGGAGTAGAGGAAGAAATAGATGCCCTATTGAATAGTGAGTGGAATAGAAGCTGACGCCCCTGGCGAGGGCGGAAGAGAGCAGGGAGGAAGGGGAAAGAGGAACGAAGTGGCAGACAAGGTGAAAGCGGGAATCTCGCGCACATAATGACGTTGGACAGAGGGACAGTCTTAAAACAAATCCCCACGTGAAGAAACAATCAATAGGACCTACATGCGGAGGAAGGAAAGGAACGGGATGGCGGGGAAACATCGCGAGTTTTAGAAGGTTGTGCCAAGAAGTCGGGCGTAAGGATGACCATGTAAAGAAGGTACAACGCGCAGGTAGCCTACTGTATCTGTAACACCTCTCAGAAAGCAATGCGCACACATACACTTCCAGTTCAAGAGCCTGAGCAGCGACCAACAGCAGCTGTACCCCCCAACCAGGAAGGTGTTGGAGTGGACTCTCCGCTCTGTCAGCTTGGAGAAGCCGTTGATTTGCCATCGGAACGTCACCAACAGAGAATCGGCTGCAGCAGATGCCGTTCAACAGGGCAAGAACGGTGGTGGAGGGAGAGAGGGACGCATAAGAGTAGGTGGGTACGGTTTAAGTGCTGCTACTCGATACTGATGGGGCCAGCACGAGCCAGACATGAGACAAAGTCGACTGTTGTGAGGTTACATGGAAAGAGGCGGTTTTTGGATATATTCAATAACCTCCTGCACGAACAAGCAAGAAACAATATTTAGTTATCAAGTCTGGTTGCACCCAGCGTGCCTACCTTCCATAGCGCCCGCGGCTCCAGAGCTTGCAGAATTTGAGCTCTTTCACAGCAGTCACTGGAGCCAAAACGTGCACACTACGATATGTACTTCCGTTTCCGCCTCTTTCAAATCGAATGAGCTTTGCGCGCTGAGGAGGAAACTGGAATGTACAAAAAACGATTCGAAATCGATGCAATGATGCTAGAAAACTGGGAGAGGCGAGCGTGAAGCATTCGTCGTAGGAAGAAGAAAAGAACCCCTCTGTGAAAAGCTACTACGATGAAGAAGACTCTTTCGCGCCATGCGTGCGTGAAGCACAGGGGATGAGATCGAACGCGCGCCATTCAACTAAACGAGCGACAACCACGGTACTATTTTAACGAGACAGTTGTCGGCATATGCATGATTCTGGATTGCTCAAGCCCATGCATGGTGAATAGGATCGCGTTTGCGGCTCCACCGTGATGTCTACACCCGAGTCGCTCAACGCACCGTATCGCAAATTTATTCCCTAACTTTTCTTATTAACTCGTGGTACCCAGTCCCAGGGGAGTCTGGGACCAGCGTGACGTGACGTGACTGCAGCTGCATGCGAAAGTGCCGCCAACTCGAGGCATTGGGCGTGCATGGTGTATGGTGCATCGCAGCAACGCTCGCTTCATCCGACAATTGTAAGGAGAGGGACTGATCTTATGAGGAGCATCCAGGTAATGCAGCTCAGAAGGAACAGGGCATGGCCCTAACGGTGCAGCGGGACTTGCGGGTGACGCGACGCGTGAGTCACAGATCTCTCCCGTCATGCGGTATGGAATGGGCTTGATAAACCATTTACAGCAATTGAGAAGGGAAAGCATAGAATGGTAACGAAGATGATGGGGCTTATAAATGCGTACTGTCATTGGTACAGTGAAGTTTGATAACTAGGTTCAACACTGGTAACTTGCTGAAGCCCTCACACAAAATGACCTTGATTTTGAAGTTTACCCTCCCGCACCAATTTAACCAGCGAATCCTGGTGCACCACGTTCTGCCCACTTTCAACTGTTATGTATTCCGTAACCATTCAAAAATCAAATCTTATTGCCAAGATCTTGAGCATCTTCATTTGGTCTAGATTTAATCAAACTGGAACGAGGTCTTTTATCTGGGAGATTACAGTACCTTCCTTCACCCCACCCGTCAAGCTGCCTGCTTGCTGCGCTTGCTACCACCAGCACCGTTCATCACCTTCCTCCCAGCCTCGCTGGGTGCCCTTCCAAACCCCCTGCCTGGTGCACTGCTGCGAGTCGCCACAACCTTACTCTCCCCACCCTGTGCTGGTGCGGACTGGGATCTTCCCGTTGCTGCTGCCCTTGCTGCCCCTGCTGGTGCTTCCACTGCTACTTCTGTATCTCCGCCCGCTATAGTCACATCTGTGAGCTTGCGCTTGGAGACTGTGGACCCTGTAGAGATGCAAGTAAAAAGGGGTCAATGGGGAAGATGCATGGGAGGACTTGAGCAGATGACTGAAAATACACACAACAGAAGCCACGGCTCTGCTTATGCTGGGAGATACTTGGGCATAGAATGCATGCCCACTGGACACCCACAGAAAGACTACATACCCATGCACAAAAACACACTCACACAAGAAACACGCATGCAACAGTCTCATATGCTGCTTCAACAGGCCGAACCACCCTTGCCTCACCTAAACTCACAACCTGCTCCCTCACCTGAACGCACCACCTGCTTCCTCACCTGAACGCACCACCTGCTTCCTCACCTGATGCAACTGCCCCAGTGGCCGCCCCTTCTGGCAGGAAGCAAAGGAAGTTGAGTGGCTGCTTCAGAAACACCTGTGAGGAGGTGATGGAAACACACAAGGAGAGGAGAGGCAAAGAAGAGACAGCAAACAGGAATCAGGAAATTCAGTGCTTAAGAGAAACAACGAGCAGGGCTAAGTTTGCTTTGCCACAGGGGCGCGACGCGACACGGTCATGGCGTGACACGGTCATGGCGTGACACGGTCATGGCGTGACACGGTCATGGTGGTCCAGATGGCCACGAGGATTCAGCCATGCCACATCTACACCCCAACCAAATCCTTCTGAGTCAAGCCAAAAGAGGCCCACGGGGATTCAGACTTAACGCATGGGCATCCCAACTGAACCCTCCAGCACGGCACTCTTACCTTGGCAACAAGGCGGCGAGAGTGTAGGTGGTGTATGCGCAGGTAGCGGTCAAGGCCTGGTGGCAGGGTGGGGAATGGGGGGACGACAGGAGAGGAGAGAGGCAGGAAGAGTGGGGGTGGTGAAGGGCGAGGTTGGGAGTAAGGCGAGAGTGCAGGTGGTGTATGCGCAAGTAGCGGCCCAGTCCTGGTGGCGGGGTGGACGAGTGGAGAGAAGCGAGCCAGAGGGGTGGTGGAGGGGAGTGGGGTTGGGGATTATGTAGTTGCAGGTGGTGTATGCAGAGGAAATGGTCGAGGCCTGGTGGCAGCGTGGGGCGAGAGAGGCAGGCAGGTCGCAGACAGATAGGTTGTGGGGAAGTGGAATCCTGTGAGAGTCACAGGTGGTGCGCATCTGCACAGATGGAGGATGCGCAGATAGCGGTCCAAGCCTGGTGGACGGTTGGTGGCGTTGAAAAGAGAGCGGCAGGCAGGCAGCAGAGAGTTGGAATGGCGGAGGGGGTCGGGTCGGGGTTGGAGATCGAATTAGCGGTGGTGGATGTGCACGCATGGTGGAGGGGGGTAGGGTTGACACGGTTAGGGTTGACACGAGCGAACGACGTAGGCAGAAAAGAAAGGGTTTGAGCTGCGCATGGTGTGCTGAGCAGGCATTAGATGTGCAGATGGCGGTGCAGGTAGGAGGAGATGGGGAGCGGTGGGGATGGAGCGAGAGAGTGGCAAGGAGAGACAGGCAGCAGGTAGGTCAGGGATTTCCAAACAATAATTGAACTCCTTATGTTCTTCCTGCATACTGATCAAGCAAGCTCACAATATTCTACAGAGTTTGTAGGCAGAGCACACAGAATGCACACAGAGCACACAGAATGCACAAGGCAAAGGTGTGGCATAACACAGCACACAGAATGCACAAGGCAAAGGTGTGGCATAACACAGCACACATACCACAGGAGGCCACGAGGGGAAGTGATGGGTGCATGGCGATTGAACGAATGGAGCCCGCACACTCGCCCTTGAATGGGTGAGTGCACGCATGGCGCACAAGTGGCAATAACATACCGCATGAGGCTACAAGAGGCAGCGATGGGTGCATGGTGAGTGAACGAATGGAGCCCGCACACTCGCCCTTGAATACTCCAGCGATGCGACCTGCGGCACGCATGTGGTGTGCGCAGCGCGGAGCAGGGGAAGGGAGTCGAGGCGGGGAGGGGAGGCAAGGCCAGGGGAGAGGACATGAGGGGAAGGGATGGGAGGGGAAGGTAGGGGAGGGGAGAGGCGGGTAGGGGAGGGGAGAGGAGGAAAGGAAAGGGGAGGGAAGAGGAGGGGAGGGGACTTTTATAACGAGCCAAAGTCCACCGATGCGTCCTTCTGAATTGAGCTGTTGAATGCAAACCTATGCGAGTGCAGTGCAGACCGACAGAGGAAGAAGGTCAGTGCGGCGCCAGTGCTGCTGCCAACCAATCAGAGCGCAGCACAGGCTGCTGCAGCAGGTCACGGTGGTGACAGTGCATGGTTTGATCGGATAGAGAAAGACGAGCAGCGACAGGTGCAGTTCAAACTCGACTCGCCCATTGCCCATGCCGAGTGAGAACAGCGACAGGTGCAGTGCAGGACAAGTGAGAGCCACCAATTCTCCACTGCAACACTCTCTTTCACGCCTGCCTTGTGTGAAGGCATCATTCCTGCTTGCGCTTCTCCTGGCCACACCTTTAGACATCACTGAATCGCGTTGATCTGAACTGCACTCACTGCAGTGCTTGGTATGGTAGCACCTGCTAGCACCTCATAGCACCTGGTAGCACCGCATCCCACCACAGCCACTCGCTCACCGTGGGTCAGATCCACCAGCTTCATCTCCCCCATGCCCGTTCCGACTGTCACCGCACTGCACTCCTCCCCACCACCCTTGCTCCACACAGCAGCGAGTGATCGAATCGGCACAGAGCCGAGAGAGACGACTCTGAGGGGGCGCGGCTGCAAGAGGAGGTCGAAGATTCGCAGCGAGTTGTCCTGGCAGGCGGTGACGAGGCGTGCCGGGTGGCATGCGCTGACGTGGCACACCGCTGTCACGTGCTTCGGCGCCACCACACCGTATGGGCTTGGGAGCGGCTGGGGGGGTAGGTTGTGCAGAGGGGGGGTTGTGCAGCAGGGTGGGGAGTGCAGGGAGGCGAGCAGAGGATTGAGAGAGGAGAGCAGGGAGGCTTAGGTGCTTCGGCACCACCACACCATATGGGCTCGGGAGGGGCTGGGGGAGTTGAGAGGCGAGAGGGGGGGGGGGGGAGAGGCGAGAGGGGAGAGGGGAGAGGCGAGAGGGGAGAGGGGAGAGGCGAGAGGGGAGAGGCGAGGGGGCAGATTATGTGGGAGGAGAGAAGGGAGCCTTGGGTGCTTTGGCGCCACCACGCCATACGGCCTTTGGAGGAGCTGCCTGGAGGGTTTTGGGGGGGGGGGGGGGGAAGGGGAGGGGGGGTTGTTGTGGGGAAGGGCAAGGGAAGTTGTGGGGGGTATGAGTGTTCAATGTAATGAGGGAGGAGTAAACGGAGGCCAACACTCCGTACAGACTCGGGAGTGGCTGCGAGGAGGAGGTGCTGAAAGGGTGAGGGTTGGAGGGTGGGATTTGAAGGCGGAAGAGAGTGCAGGAATTTGAGGGGGGCTTGGGAGCGGAAAGAGAAGCAGGGGCAGTGCAAGGAAGGGAAAAGTAACGAAAGAGGGAAGCGGAGGGAGGAAGCAAGAGGCGAATGCACCCACCGGCTTGGCTTCCCATCTGAGCGTGCCCGTCTGAAGGTGGCTTTTAGTCAAGACTCATAAGTCACTTTGAGTCGACTTAAAGGGAATGGAGGGTGGCAGTGATAGGCAAGTCACAAGTGCACCCACCAGTTTAGCCTCCCATTTGAGTGCGCCCGTCTGAAGGTCCCACACTGTCAGATCTGCTTCCTTCCTGCCGTGCAGTAAATGACACAGTCGAGTGCGATAATGATGTGATGTGATGTGATGTGATGTGATGTGATGTGATGTGATGTGATGTGATGTGATGTGATGACAATGCATGAGGGGGTAGGGAGGAGCAAAGAACGGGGATTAGGGTGTGACGACGAAATGGAGTGGAGACTCGGTAATGCAAGAAACGAGAAGGGGAGAAGCGCTGGGGGAAAAGAGATGAACCAAGACAGCAGATAGCGATTTGGAAGCAAGGCGATGCAGGGAGGAAGAGAGAAGTGAAACGAGGGCGGTAAGGGAGGAGAGACGAGGGGAGACGAGCAGCGTATTTGGCAATAGCAACTGGCATATCTGGCAATGCAGCTCTGAGCAGGGATCCACAGCAGCACAGAGCAGACGAGGAGTGAGGAGGATAATGGGAGGGGAAGGGGAAGGAGGAGGCGAGAGCACTCACCCGCCAACAGCCACGGTGGCTCCAGTGGGTCCACAGCAGCACAGAGCACACGAGGAGTGAAGGAAGGGATCAGGCGAGTTAGAGGGGCGGGCGGAGGAGGCGAGGAGAGGAGGAAAGAAAGGGGAAGGAAGAGAGGAGAGGCAAGTACTCACCCGCCAACAGCCACGGTGGCTCCGGTGGGGTCCACAGCAGCACACAGCAGACGAGGCCTCTCTGCTCCCCCTGCTGTCGCACCCGCACCACCTGCACCATTGGTAGAAGCAGCAGCAGCAACATTGGCAGCACCAGCAGCAGTTGTGTTGTCGCCCGAGCCCCCTCCCGCCCCTGAATCGCCACCCACGTCATTCTCACCACCGCCCTGCAGCTTCCTCTTCTTTTTCGACGGCTTGCGCGGTGCAATCGCCACAAACCGCCGCACCAGCCGCTGCTCTGCCGCCCATTCCGCACCCTCATCTTGCCCCTCTTCCCCCTCCTCCTCTCCCTCACTCACCTCCTCCCCTTCCTCCAACTCCTCCCCTTCCTCCAACTCTTCATCCCTCCCACTCCCCCTCTCCCCCCCCACCCTCTCAGGTTCCCCTCTACCCCCCTTAGGCACCAGCGCCACCTCTCGCAAGCAGAGCAGCCCATTGTGTGACACAGATACGAGCATCCACGCCTGCCTGCCCGCCTGCTCGCCCTGCTCCTCCTCCTCCTCCTCCTCCTCCTCCCCCTGCTCCCCATGCTTCCCCTGCTCTCCTTGTTCCCTGTCTTCTCCTGGAGTGACATCAGCAGCACTGGGCCGGTGGGGAATGAGGGAGAGCGAGCAGCACGCACCATCCAAACTAGGATCCGCCAAACCCCACGCCCCCTCTGATAAACCCCTCTGCCCCTCTCCTCCTAACCCTCCTGCCTCCCTGCCCTCCTCGCTCCCCTGCCCCGCGTCCCCATCCCTTTCACCCCCATCCCCCTCCCTGCATTGGCTACCGCTCTGCACCGCTGCGCACCCCTCGCCCTGCAGGCAGCCCTGCCAGGCGGGGAAGGAGAGCAGCAGGCGCACCTGGGGAGCGGTGCTGGCTGGAGGAGGGGCGGCGCTGGCGCCTTCCCCTCCCCCTGCTGCCTCACCTGCTGCTGCTGCTGCTTCTGGTGCTTCTACTGCGGGTGGAGCGGGTGTTGAAAGGAGCAACACGTCAACCTGAATAAAGGCGCGGGGGTATAGGAAACGGAAGGACGGTGTGGGGATAAAGAGAAGTGGCAAGGAAAAAGGTGGGCATTGAGTGGGGGAGGAAAGAAGCGTGTGAAAACATATGGAAAACAGGAGGCAGTGGTAGCGGAGGGGAGAGAAAGCGATGCGGGAAAGGAATCATCAGCAAGAGCGAGGCAAAGTGTGCTTTGCTGAATCAATGTGCATCCCCTCCAGCAGCAATGCATGCAAATGCCAAGCTTGCCCTCACCCCCAGAAATCTGCCCTGCCCTGCGTTCCCGAAAACCCCAAGCTGCACTGCCATGCCTTTTCTACAACCCCCAACCCACCATGCCATCTGCCACAATCTGCCAATCCGCACATTGAGGGATGGAAAGAAAACCTTCAACCAGCCCTGCCCTGCCTGCCCTGCCTCCCCTAAAACCCCGAACCCTTAACGTGCCATGTCATGCCCACCCTGAAACCCCGAACCCACCATGCCATGCTTGCGGGCGACTGCCACGATCTGCCCATCCACACAGAAGAAGAAACGGAAGGAAAGAAAAGGAAGTCGCGTTTCATCATGTAATGACAAGATTCATATTGAGTAACATATAATTGAAGAACGCCGTCAAACTGAAGAAGATCTGACTGCTTACGGAATTAAAGGGGTGGGAGGGAGGGTGGAGGGGAAAGCTGCTCCAACGGATTGTAACACCCTAAACCCCTGAGCGTTGGTCCGTCCTGTCACACCTGCTTGATGCGTCAGATCAGAACCACTTGCTTTCCCACTCAAGCCAATGCCAAAACAAGTGCTTTGAAAAGAGCTTAAACCCCGATGCAGTAAGCTCCGCGCAAGACTATCCTAAATTCTCGTCCACGACAGCTCATACCGGACTTAGAGGACTGTTAGAACCCGCCTTAAGCCCTTCGGCCGTTTAAACCCTTAAACCTAGATCCCTCGCCCGCACTCACTCACCGACGATCGCTCGTCTACTGCCACACACGCGGACGAGCACACTGCCGAACGACCCTTATCCGCTTCGCCGAACCTAACCACCTCGTACTGCGCCGAACCGGACGCTCCGGCTCGGGGCCCGGCCGAGCCTCCTGCTGCGGCGCCTTTATTCTGCCCGAGAGAAACCACTGCGGGTGCGAAGGGAGGAAGGGAACGAGGCGATTCGGTTGGCAAAATGCACGAACGTTGGAATACTTACAGCGCGGCATTTCCACTAGGGATTTGGAGAGGGAAGATAGAGCGGATGAAGGCGACGAGAGGCGAGAGGCGAGAGGCGAGAGGCGAGAGGACTTCCGCGAGCTGGTCGCGCAGAGAATCGCCACGAGATCAGCGCGATGGTTCGATCGCTAATCGCTGTACCTTTGAGTAGGCCGAGCTCGTCACCCGTGAGCAGTCGCACAGGCGGGCATGCGACGATTTCGCCGCGATCAACCTTCGGCATGGTTGGAAGGAAGCGACGGCCGTCGCAGGGTGGGCCTGCGATTCGATCAGCACGCGATCAGATTGTAACTAATTCTAGGATGGGTAAACCTCGAGTGAACCAAAATAAGAGGGTCTACTATGAGCATATGAATTGTCGTTGCGAACAAGTATTTCCCGTTACCTCCTCCTCCACGTTTGCGAGTTTCGCTTGACAATTTACTGTTTCGCGAGTCATTTCGGGAGTGCTCTAACGAGCCTGCAAGCCATACCCCTTTCATCGAACTCCAACATCCGCTACAATTAACGAATCCCGTTAGTAATATAGACTGTTCTGTTGGCGCATTAGTAATGCGCGCACGGCCGACAAGTTGTGCGCTCAGAGCCTTCCGCGCAGGAGAGCAACCCCCCAAAATTACCACGAAGGTATAACCCAGGCGCGACGTATCTGCGGGGCAGTCACCAGGGTGTTAACGCTGGGGCAGACCCAAACATTTTAGCTGCAACAGCACGTTTGGGCAGGACTGACCGTAAATTTTGAAGTCGCGCAACAAGATTTGGCACCTGCATCCAACGGCCAAGCACCTCAAAGTCAAACCGCAAGGTTCAAAAACTCGCCAAAATTCCCTTTTTTTCTGCCCCGCACGCCCCTCAACCGCCCTGAGAGGGGCGGATGGGACTCGCACAGGATATGCGGGCCTTTTGCCTGTGAAACCAACGTCCTGGAATGTTCCGAGCGCACAGCGGCCCTGTTCTACAGGCAGACGGGCACGGCGTGGAAACGGAAACACAGGAACCCTCATACAGCTTTCGCTTAGAACCGTCACGCCCAACTACCCCGCGAAACCTCACCGGTTTGTGCGAGAAGTTTCTACCTTTCAAGATGTAGGTGTCGGCCCTCCTTCCCGTAACGGAGGGGGGTGTATTCGAAATTGATTTCACACAGTTTAGGTCTACTCGGATATATAGGGGTCTTACGAGAAACTAAAGAACAGCAGCAGTAATAAACTAGCAGTACCAATGTTCACTATCTTGAAATTCCCCACAGCCCTTCGGCATCCTAAAAGTGGAGGCGGTTGGATCATGGCGTTTGAAGTTTGGAGGGCAGAGAACGGATTGCACCTGGACATTTGTTTCCACCTGCACGCCACTGTGCTTCCCGTGAAAAGGGGGTACCACTTGGCGTGGAAACGGAAACAAATATTGCCAGGGATGGAAGGTGGGTACTACCTTCCATTTCGTTATTTCCGTTTCCACACTGGGTTTGTTCTACAGTCATGTGTTTCCGTTTGGCTCGGACGGAAACCATTAGGTTTGACAACCATTTTCGGGCTGACCATGCTATCAAGCCTAAATTGACTGTCGACGGAAGCCCCCCGGAGGATTCTCACGACGGGAACGCTTGCCTGTAGAACAGGGCCAGTCAGTTCTGCGTTTTTGTGGACGCATAGGTAATGCGAGCACAACTTCCGCACCTGCGGTTCGGGTCACAATAACGATTTGGTCCGGTTCCAAGCCTTCTCAAGCACGTACGTGGAGAAATCCTCGTTAGGGTAAGCACAACCTATGCACCAACAGAACGCAGCTTTGAGTGAGCTTCGGAAACCCAACTTCAATTCAGTTTTTTCTTATCGAGTGAGCGAGCAATTTGTGGCGACCTAAACTGGAAGCAGGACATTGGTTGATTCGCGCGAGAGGAGCGCAGGCACCACCACCTGCTGTTTTTCCGATAAGGGCGCCGATCGGAGTGCGACGAACGGGAGGCCGGCCGAAATATTACTTCTAGAATAAACTCGTGTACAATCTATTGCGTCCGCATAGTGGAACCATTCACATAGTATTTGTGCCAGGCGATTTAGTTAAGATTGCGAAGGACAACGACTCACCGGAGGCCTCGCGTGGAGAAGTAAATGGTCGATTCGATTTTTTAGTCCACTCAAAAAGGTCGAATTGGGGAAGGAGAAGGAGGAGGGGCGACGCGACGCGATTGCAGGCGGAGGAACGGGCGGCGCGATTTTAGGCGCCTAATAACGGCGGAAGGAGGGACGCGGGGGGGGAACGGCGATTGTCTGCTAATTAGTACCAAAAGGCGGCATGGCGAGCGCGAAAGCCGGCGACGGAGCTGGCGAGCTGGACTTGTCGCGAGCCAATCAGGGCGTGTGGCTGATGAAGGTGCGAAAATAATCGCGAACGACAAAGCAAAGCCCGTCGTGGTCCCGTCCCCGCTTACTACCCATGCCATCCCGCCCTCAGGTACCTCAGTTCGTGGCGGATAGATGGCACACGGCGGGGGACAAGCCAACCTCATCCCCCTCTTCCGCCTCTTCCGCCCCTCTTACTCTACTCCCCCCCTCCCTCTGCAGGTGCCACAGTTCGTGGCGGAGAGGTGGCACAAGGCGGGTGACAAGCCCGGGGGGGAGGCAGCAGCGGGGGGAGGCGCGGGGCAGGGCGCGCCCCCCACGCCTCCGCCACCAGGGGGGGGAGCGGGGGCGGGGGGAGTGGGCGTGGTGGGGCGCGTGCGCATGGCGTTTGACCCCCGCGCTCGCCCCCAGGGCGGACAGGCCGCCACCCAGGTGAGTTGACTATAACGAGGGGGCCGCCACCCAGGAGGGGCCGCCACGCAGGTGACTATAACGAGGGGTTGTTGCCCAGGTGACGCTCTATAATCAAACAAGCTTTCAGTAAAATTTCAGCGCACCACTGGTGCAATCTGCTGCGATCTGCTGCGAGCAGGTGCGAGCAGGTGCGAGCAGGTGCGAGCAGGTGCGAGTGTAAGCTTTGCTGTTACAACTTTGCCTGAGACGGCGCCGCAAGCCCACGGCTGCCAGAGCTTTCTGTGCAGCAGAGCCTCGCAATCCCAGCAGTCTGCCCTCACTGCTCTTGTCCCCCACGTCTCCCCTCCCTTACTGCTGCCTCCACACCCCGCCCCCCCTCCCCTTTCATCACTTCATGATGTGCCTTGCCTCCTGGAGGTACCCAAAGGGACAGCAGTGGAGCTCTTGAGGAGTACAACCATAACTTAATCGAAAATCGAAAGTATCCTAAGATACAGAAATTCTACAATACTAAAGCTAAGGCTGCGCTTGTCGAGACGAGCTCGATAGAATGCAAGACGAGAAGTGCGGGAATGAATGAGGCTCGCGACATTCGAATGGGGTGGAAGGTTGGGTTTGGGAATGGATGGGGAGGTTGGATGGGTGGAGTGTAGTTGGGGGTGGGGTAGGGGTTGGAGTTTGAAGTTCTAATCTGTGCTGGTCTCGATGTTCGAAGTTCAATGTTTGAATTCTACTTCTAATTCGCGACTTCGCAGAACGTCGTTATTTTTTTTCAGATTCTGATTTTTTTTTTGCGGGCTGCCCCTACGTTTTTTAGCGAAGTCCAGGCGTATTAGCGTATTTCGTATATTCGCAAACGAATATACGCGATACGCCCCCTTCCCCTGAGCGTATCTGCCAACTTAGCTCCCTCCCTGCTCTCCTCTTCCCTCGCCCCTACCCCTCCCTCCCTTCCTGCTGCCAACCCCCCTCACCCCACTTCACTATAATCCATCTATCAGTTCGTGATGCGGCGAACGGTGCCAGAGGAGGGGTCAGCAGCAGAGCTTCCAATGGATGTTACAACCTCTCCCTCCCTCATAGCCGCCTTTTCGCTCTGCTCTTCTCTCCTCGTCCCCCACCCTCCCGCCTTTTCCCCATTCTCCCATCCCATCCCACACCTCCGCTCCCCCCATCAGTTCATGATGCACCTGGAGGTGCCAGAGGGGGCAGCAGCGGAGATTCCTATAAATTACAACCTCGCATTCACAGCAGCCTCCCCCCCCTTTCTCCGCTTCTCGTCTCTCACTCCTACCGTTCCCCTACCTTCCTTCTGCCCCCACTTCCCGCCAGTTCATGATGTGCCAGGATGTGGCAGAGGGGACAGCAGCAGAGCTTCCTATAGAGTACAACCTTGCGATTACAGAAGGCTCCCCGCCCTGCTCTCCTCGTCCCACACCCTCCCACTGCCTTCCTCCCCCCATCAGTTCTTTATGCGTCTGGAGGAGGTACCCGAGGCGGCAGCAGGAGAGCTCCCGATAGAGTACAACCTCGCATTCACAGCAGTGCCCCTAGCCTGCTCTCGTCTTCACTCACTCCTACCCCTCTCCTCCCTTCTTGCCGCCACATGTCACCTCTCCCCCATCAGTTCATGATGCGCCTAGAGGTACCCGAAGGAGCAGCAGCGGAGCTTCCTATGGAGTACAACCTCGCATTGACATCACTCATCCCTTTCTGCTTTCCTCTCCCCCCTTTCCCCAACCCCACATTTCCTTCCTTCTATCCCCCAACCCACCCCGTCAGTTTATGATGCGCCTGGAGGTACCAGAGGGGGCAGCAGCAGAGCCTCCTATAGAGTGCAACCTCGCTTTCACAGCAGTCAATACTAACCTCCTTGCTGCCGTCCCCCACATTCACTCCCCATTCTACTCCTTCCCCCCCACCCCTCCTCTCCCATCAGTTCATGATGCGTCTGAAGGTATCAGAGGGGGCAGCAGCAGAGCTCCCATTAGAGTACAACCTCGCATTCACCCCCGATCACGTGCCCATGCATGTCTTTTCCGAGTCTGCCAGCGGTGAGCTGCTGTGTGCAAGGCTATTGCATTACCCCAATGTCTCCCTGCAAGTCAAGCAAGTCAGTCAATCCCCGTGTGCAGGACAACCTCGCATTCACCGCCGAGTCCCGACCACGTCCACATGCACGTCTTCTCTGAGTCTACTAGCAGTGAGTTGCTGTGCGTGCCGCCATGTATCATGTCTCGTCTGTTGCACGTTTTCTCCTCGATCAATCGCTTTGGGAGTACAACCTCGCATTCACCCCGGACCGCGTGCCCATGCACGTATTCTCCGAGTCTGCTAGCGGTCCGTGCACGTCAAACCTTTTCTGTGTGAAGTGCAAGTCAAACTTTTTCTGTGTGAAGTGCAAGTCAAACTTTCTCTGTGTGAAGTGCAAGTCAAACTTTTTCTGTGTGAAGTGCAAGTCAAACTTTTTCTGTGTGAAGTGCAAGTCTTGGCCACTCCAATGTGCCCATGCACGTATTCTCCGAGTCTGCTAGCGGTAGGTGCCTACTATTCATCTACGTTCATGGCAACTTCAATGTGTTTTTTTTTGTTCCAATTAATCCTTGTGTGTGGACCGCAACTCCTGTAAGGAGAATAGTGTACAACACCCCCCCGACCACGGGCCCATGCATCTCTTCTCCAACCGTGTCTGCGGGCTGTGCGTTGCTAGGATGTGATCCTGTGTCATGTCGTGTCACAGCCTGTCGTGTCATTCGTGTCATGTGAGGGCAAGGTGGAGCAAGAGTTTGATAAGCAGCTGGCCAGTGGGGTCCGAGGTGCCAGCAGACGGCTAGTGGAATTCCAACCAGAATCTTTGCTGATCTCCCCCCGCCTCACGTTTGTGTTTTCCTTCCCGTATCACTCCATTACAGGACGCATTGCCCTGGAGGGCAAGGTGGAGCACAAGTTTGACATGCAGCCGCCCAGTGGGGACCGCGGGTACCGGCAGATGGCAGATGGCAGATGGCAGATGGCAGATGGCAGATGGCAGATGGCAGATGGCAGATGGCAGATGGCAGATGGCAGATGGCAGATGGCAGATGGCAGATGGCAGATGGCAGATGGCCGATGGCCGATGGCCGATGGCAGATGGCAGATGGCCGATGGCCGATGGCAGATGGCAGATGGCAGATGGCAGATGGCAGATGGCAGATGGCAGATGGCCGATGGCCGATGGCAGATGGCAGATGGCAGATGGCCGATGGCAGATGGCAGATGGCAGATGGCAGATGGCCGATGGCCGATGGCAGATGGCAGATGGCAGATGGCAGATGGCCGATGGCAGATGGCAGATGGCAGATGGCTAGGCCCACTCACACCCTGTCGTTGTTGCTGCTCTTTCCCCCCTCGTCGCTCTGTTTCCAGGCCGCATGCATTTCCCTGAAGGGAAAGGTGGAGCACAAGGTTGACATGCAACTGCCCAGTGCCCAGTGGGGTGGGGACAGGGGGGGGTATCGGCAGATGCCAGATGGCTAGCCCTACTCACACACACCCTGTTTCGTCCCTTCTGCTGCTCTACCCCCCCGCATCCTACTGTCTGCAGGCCGCATTGCCCTAGAGGGCAAGGTGGAGCACAAGTTTGACATGCAGCCGCCCAGTGGGGACAGGGGGTACCGGCAGATGCTGCAGACGCGGGAGAAGAAATGGAACACTCCCAAACGCAAGCTGCAGGTGGGACATTCAGTTGGGGGTTGAGGGGACGGTTGGGGATTAACAAGGGTGGGAGCGCAGGGGCACGGGTGGGCATGAGACCGCTGGTAGCGGCAGCTGCTGCAGACGCGGGAGAAGAAATGGAACACTCCCAAACGCAAGCTGCAGGTGGGTTGAGTCTAGGGGGAGGGCAGGGTGGGGGGTTCAGAGCGGAGGAGGGGCAGGGTTTGGTTTGGGAGTGCAGGGTGTGGGGGTGAGCGGGGTAATGGCAGATGCTGCGGACGCGGGAGAAAAAATGGAACACGCGCAAGCGGCAGGTATGGGGGGGATGGGAAGCTGAGGATCAGAATTTTGGCCGCGGGTGGTGGGAGATGGGTGGCAGGTTGGGGGATGGGTGGCAGGTTGGTGGGAGATGGGTGGCAGGTTGGTGGGAGATGGGTGGCAGGTTGGTGGGAGATGGGTGGCAGGTTGGTGGGAGATGGGTGGCAGGTTGGGAGATGGGTGGCAGGTTGGTGGGAGATGGGTGGCAGGTTGGGAGATGGGTGGCAGGTTGGTGGGAGATGGGTGGCAGGTTGGTGGGAGATGGGTGGCAGGTTGGTGGGAGATGGGTGTCAGGTTGGTGGGAGATGGGTGGCAGGTTGGTGGGAGATGGGTGTCAGGTTGGTGGGAGATGGGTGGCAGGTTGGGAGATGGGTGTCAGGTTGGTGGGAGATGGGTGTCAGGTTGGTGGGAGATGGGTGTCTCTCTCTTCTCCCCCCCTTCCCTACTCACTCTTCTTCCCTTCTCGCTCGACTTCCCATCCCTTCCCTTCCCTTCGCCTCCCTTCGACTCCCGTCCCTTCCCGTCCTTTCCCGTCCCTTCCCGTCCCTTCCCGTTCCCTCCCGTCCCTTCCCGTCCCCTCCCCTCCCTTGCGTGCAGATGTATGACCCAGGTGCTGCGGGCCCCCGTCTGCCCATGCCTCTGCCTCTCTCTCTTCCCTTCTCATTCTCGTCCATTCTGGTCCCTCCCTCTCCCTCCCCTCCCCCACCTTTCTTCCCGTCCCATCACGCCTTTCTTGTGTGCAGATGTACGACCCAGGTGCTGCGGGCCCCCGTCTGCCCATGCCTGGCACCGTCTCCAACGTCAAGGTGAGGGATCGGGTAATGTGAGGGTAGCTTGAAGCCTTGATTACGCAGACACTGCAGCCCGGCTACTATGGGCCAAGAGGCGCCTCTCTCAAACGGTCCGTTGTATCGATTCAGTCAGCAGGGGTACAGGCCTGCATGTCTCCCCGTCTGCCCATGCCTGGTACCGTTTCTACTCAACCCTAAACCCTAAAGCCACTCCCTCCTTCCTTCCTGCCATGCCAACCATTCGCAACTCACCCTCATTCCCACTGCACCCACTCCCTCACCTGGCCCCCTCACTTTCACTTCCACGTACGTAATTGCTCTATTTGTTTTTTCGTGTCACTCTCTCCACTCTTCATGCTTCATGCTTCATGTTTCCCCGCTCTTTTCCTGCCTCGCATTTGAGAGGAGAGAAGGTAAAAAGTCGAGCCTACTGCACATGCATGTCCACCCCTCTCCCTCCCCTCCCCCACCTGTCTCCAGCGCAAGGCAAGCACCACACCGGCATGGCAGCAGGAGGTCAAGATGGGCACGACACACCTCCCCCTCCCATTCCTCACACCACTCTCCCCACCTATCCCCCACTCTTCCCTCCAGCGCAAGGCAAGCACGACACCGGCATGGCAGCAGGGGGCGGCAGCGCGGGCAGCAGAGAAGGAGAGCAAGCGGGTGCGCATGTCGCGAGATGTGGTGGAGGCAAAGCTGTTTGCGCTCTTTGAGGAACGGCCGCACTGGACGCTCAAGCACCTCACAGATGCCACTCAGCAGCCACAGGTGAGGGGAGGGCGGGGGCGCTGGAGCAGGTGGTAATGGGTGCGAATGTGGTTGAAGTTGTTTGCACTCTTTCAGGAACGGCCGCACTGGACGCTCAAGCACCTCACAGATGCCACTCAGCAGCGACTGGCGAGGGGATGGAAGGGACAAGGGGGTTGAAGGGGAAAGGGAGGGTGTTCCATGTCTCGCAATCCGTGCTGTTTGAGGAGCGCCCGCACTGGATGCTCAAGCACCTGACAAATGCCACTCAGCAGCCACAGGTGAGAGGATGGAGAGACAAGGGGGTTCAGTTCAGGGGGGTTCTGGTTCCGTGATTGTCAATGCGCTCTCTTTGAGGAGCGACCACACCGGACGCTCAAGCACCTCACAGAGATGCGACTCAGCAGCCGCAAGTGAGGGTTGAAGGGGAGCAGATGAAGGAACTACGGGAGCAGCTTGGAGCAAGTGCCCATGTCGCGAGATGTGGTGGCGGCGAAGCTGTTTGATGTCACTCAGTGTGTGCTCCTGGTGAGGGGAAGGGATAGAGAGGAGTAAGGATATGGTTTCATGTTGAACTAAGAGCACCGTGCACACAGACAGGCAGACAGGCAGGCAGACACAGCAGTCGCAGGTGAGACACGCAGCGGTGCAGCAGTCTGGGGATGTGCGTGATGCCGTCACGCACATCAGGGAGGGAATGCGGGTTTCCTCGCCAGGTCTGCTAGTGTGACGGAGTGCGGGATGCCCACTGGACCCTCAGAACCTGCACTTGCTGCCAGGAGTGGACACCCCCACAGTCCCCCCTACCCTGCCCTGTGCAGTGCAGCAATCTCTCAAGGAGATGGTGGGCGGCATGTACAAGTGCTAATATGCCTGTGCCATTCTCTTGCCTTGCTGCCGCCTTTATTCCCACCTCTCCTCCACACCCCCTCGTTCTCGTCCCCTCCCCTGCCTCTCACAGCAATTCCTCAAGGAGGTGTTGGGAGACATGTGTGTGTACAACAAGAGTTCATGTGCCCTGTGACTCAAGCCAGCCATGTTACACATGTCACACCCACAATCCCACCTCCTTCCCTCCCCTCCCTCTCACAGCAATTCCTCAAGGAGGTGTTGGGAGACATGTGTGTGTACAACAAGAGTTCATGTGCCCTGTGACTCAAGCCAGCCGTGTTACCCATGTCACACCCACAATCCCACCTCCTTCCCTCCCCTACCCCTCGCAGCAATTCCTCAAGGAGGTGTTGGGAGACATGTGTGTGTACAACAAGAGTTCATGTGCCCTGTGACTCAAGCCAGCCATGTTACACATGTCACACCCACAATCCCACCTCCTTCCCTCCCCTCCCTCTCACAGCAATTCCTCAAGGAGGTGTTGGGAGACATGTGTGTGTACAACAAGAGTTCATGTGCCCTGTGACTCAAGCCAGCCATGTTACACATGTCACACCCACAATCCCACCTCCTTCCCTCCCCTCCCTCTCACAGCAATTCCTCAAGGAGGTGTTGGGAGACATGTGTGTGTACAACAAGAGTTCATGTGCCCTGTGACTCAAGCCAGCCGTGTTACCCATGTCACACCCACAATCCCACCTCCTTCCCTCCCCTACCCCTCGCAGCAATTCCTCAAGGAGGTGTTGGGAGACATGTGTGTGTACAACAAGAGTTCATGTGCCCTGTGACTCAAGCCAGCCATGTTACCCATGTCACACCCTCAATCCCACCTCCTTCCCTCCCCTACCCCTCGCAGCAATTCCTCAAGGAGGTGTTGGGAGACATGTGTGTGTACAACAAGAGTTCATGTGCCCTGTGACTCAAGCCAGCCATGTTACACATGTCACACCCACAATCCCACCTCCTTCCCTCCCCTCCCTCTCACAGCAATTCCTCAAGGAGGTGTTGGGAGACATGTGTGTGTACAACAAGAGTTCATGTGCCCTGTGACTCAAGCCAGCCGTGTTACCCATGTCACACCCACAATCCCACCTCCTTCCCTCCCCTACCCCTCGCAGCAATTCCTCAAGGAGGTGTTGGGAGACATGTGTGTGTACAACAAGAGTTCATGTGCCCTGTGACTCAAGCCAGCCATGTTACACATGTCACACCCACAATCCCACCTCCTTCCCTCCCCTCCCTCTCACAGCAATTCCTCAAGGAGGTGTTGGGAGACATGTGTGTGTACAACAAGAGTTCATGTGCCCTGTGACTCAAGCCAGCCGTGTTACCCATGTCACACCCACAATCCCACCTCCTTCCCTCCCCTACCCCTCGCAGCAATTCCTCAAGGAGGTGTTGGGAGACATGTGTGTGTACAACAAGAGTTCATGTGCCCTGTGACTCAAGCCAGCCATGTTACCCATGTCACACCCTCAATCCCACCTCCTTCCCTCCCCTACCCCTCGCAGCAATTCCTCAAGGAGGTGTTGGGAGACATGTGTGTGTACAACAAGAGTCCATATGCCATGTGCCATTCACTTGCCTTGCTGCCACCTATATTTACACCTGTCCACTCTCATCTCTCCTCCCCTGCCTCCAACAGCAATTCCTCAAGGAGGTGTTGGGCGACATGTGTGTGTACAACAAGAGGGGGCCCAACCAGGGCCTCTACGAGCTGAAGCCCGAGTACAAGCACGCGGCGCAGCCAGCCTCTTGATACACTCTGCCTTGTAGCACTGTTCAACCATCTACGAGTTGGCACAGCCAGCCTTGTAACTTCACTTAACCGAGTACAAACTCACTGTTGAAAACTGGAAGATACAGAGTTAGCGAAGGGGAATTGCAGTGTGTGTGTACAACAAGAGGGCCCCACTTCAACCAGGGCATGTACGAGCTCAAGCCTGAGTACAAGCACGCGGCACCGCCAGCTTCTTCACTTCACACTGCCGTGTGGCTGAAGAGCAAGCTCACTGTTAAATACTGGAAGTACCGTAGTCATTGCAGTGCAGTGTGTGTGTGTGTACAACAAGAGGGGGCCCAACCCAACCAGGGTCTGTACGAGCTCAAGCCCGAGTACAATCACACACCACCGCCAGCCTCATGACTTGTGGCCCTCACACTTCTCTGGTTGACTTGTCCACTCAAAAGGAGTGTGTGTACAACAAGGGGCCCCAACCAGGGCCTGTAGGAGCTCAAGCCCGAGTACAAGCACTCTGCACAGCCAGCATCCTGACTTAACAATACCTCGTACCTGGAAAAATGTGTTGTCAGTCCTCTCAAGCCGGAGCACAAGCACTCGGCTTGGACCTGCACTCTGTTGCGACACTGCACACCTTAAAATGCTCTTCAACTCTCCACGGCCTCAAGCTGGATAAAAAGCACTTGGCACAGCCACCCTCGTGATTTACATTGTACCTGTGCTTGAATGGCTAACTGATTGTAAAGAAATTTGAAGTTTTGTGCTCGTCAATGAGTTCTAGTAATGTAGTTGGATTGTTTATGTTCACGTTTGTTTTTACGGAAGGCAAATGTACCCACGCGACTTCTACTTGTGTGTCATATTTTACATCGCGGCAACTTCTAACTCGAACGCCCGAACATCGAGGTGTCCGCTGAATCCTAGCCGTCATTTTGTCGAACGCAGACGTGTATGTCAGCCCTGGACATTCACGATGTGGCTGCTTCATCTTCTAGGGTTGCCACTGGGATGCATTGTGCGAGTCACGCACTTGCACATACAAGAATCGCGACGTCAATTCACCATCTCCTCCTGAGTACACGAGGCACACGGCCTAGGTAGCTGTCTAGATCAATCCGCGCTAACGCATGGCCGGGACAAGAATACTACATTCTATTTACATTCTGCTTGTGTTATAAACGTTTTCTGCACGCATTTAGAGCGAGGAAACCGAACGTTGTAAGCCACGCTAGCATTTCGCTGCTTCCACACGGATTTTCCAAGCTGTCCGTTCTCCCCCATGTCTTGCTTTTGAGACGACTCAGAAGTCTGTCCCGTTCCCGCCATGTCTTGTGGTCAAGGTTGCCTGCGCCGCACTGCAATGGATTTGGATCGCACGATGTTCTCGCGAGCCATTCAGTCGATTTTGGAATTTGGAAAAACCCTGGCGAGGTATGATCCCTGGCTGAGATTCATCACCTCATGAAGGCTTCATGCAGGGCAGGTCGTTTCATCCAGGGCAGGTCGTTTTAAGCAAGGCATGTCGTTTCATCCAGGGCAAATTTCTGCGGCAGGAGAATGTTGTTTCATCAAGGCAGGTCGTTTTCATGCCCTGAGCCTGGGTTTGCAAAAGCCGTGCTTTTCCCAGGCTGAGATGATGGAACCGCAGAAACGGGTCTGCACAAGCAATGCAGGGCAAAGCGGGCCCATGTCTCTCGTGTCGCTGAAAATCTCTTGCTGCCATGCTGCCAGCTCCCCAGCTAGGCATCCCTTGTCTCCCTTCCATCGCAGCTTCCTGTCGCAGCTACCCTCATGCCATGCCATGATTCGCATGCCGTAGCTCTGTGTCGTATGATGCCGTAGCTCTGTGTCGTATGATGCCGTAGCTCTGTGTCGTATGATGCCGTAGCTCTGTGTCGTATGATGCCGTAGCTCTGTGTCGTATGATGCCGTAGCTCTGTGTCGTATGATGCCGTAGCTCTGTGTCGTATGATGCCGTAGCTCTGTGTCGTATGATGCCGTAGCTCTGTGTCGTATGATGCCGTAGCTCTGTGTCGTATGATGCCGGACCATGCGTGTGCCTGATCTTTGCGGTGATTACACTCATCTGCTGGAAACTGCACCTACGGAGCTCAATCTGCTGCTCTTCTGCCTCTCTGACCTTCTCTGAACTTCTCTGAACTTCTCTGAGCTTTAACACGAGGGGAGCCTGGTAGAAAAGCAATGAATTTCGATGCCTGTCACTCAAAAACAGGGAGAAATTCCTGTGGCCGCAGTTTCCCCTCGCAGATGTTACCCCACGCACTTGACAGATGAGCATCACGCTGCTTAGACACCGCGCCTGATGCTTACTAGCCGCTGCGCCAGCAACCAGACTTTGGTACAGGCGCAACAGATCCTTCCACCAACTCGTGTCAGATTCTATCCCTCAACTTTCTCACGGAACTGCCTGCTAGGAAGCCATCTTGCCCAAGAGGAAGCACCTGGTGAGGCAATTCTGAGAGGAGGGGAGGGGAGCCAAGGCGGAGAGGAGAGGAGTCAAGGGTGAGAGGAGAGTAGTCAAAGCGAAGAGAGGAGTCAAAGCTGAGAGGAGAAGAGTCAAAGCGAGGAGAGGAGTCAAAGCTGTGCGGAGAGGAGTCAAAGCTGAGAGGAGAGGAGTCAAAGGGCCTTTGACGGGTGAACTCCTTATCCTGTTCGGGCCAGACTAGCATAGCAATTATGGCAGTTCGACCGGACGTTCTCTTTAACCGAATGGCCGGTGGTAATGGCAACAACACCGCTGTCCCTCTACAGACCCACGACTGTTTTTCGCAACAACTTCAGGTAAGACCACCTTTATCCACCCACGGAGCCACCCCAACCCCAACGACCCAGCACCACGACGACTGGATTTCTTGCCCAGAGGCAGCAAAGGTGGAGATCGCTGCAAATTGCGCAGTAGCAGCAGTGAATCAAATCGGGATCGGAGATTGCGATGTGCAGGCCGAGCTCGGCGAGCTGAAGACGAGAGTACTAGCTGAGCTGCGGGCTCGACTTAATCACATTGCTGTGAGCACCAGGCCACACCTCGCCTATGAGGGCCAGGCTGAAGCCATTGCTGCGGCTGGGTCCGAGGCTGAGCCCGAGGCTGAATCTGAGGCTGAGTCCGAGGCTGTCCCACATCGTGCTGGTGCAACCGGGCCACTTGCTGCAGCCACCGACGCAAGCCTGCTGCCGGAGCAGCAGCTTGAAGGAGCGTGCACAGCATGCAATGAGGACTCCCTGCTGCTGGAACGATCAAGCCACAGCACTGCAAAGGGCTTCAGCTCTACTCACTCCCTGCTGCTGGAGCAACCCGTGCTGTCACCCCACTCCCAGGCAGCACCTGAACCTGCTACTGCAGCCCATCTCCCTTCCGCGATCCCCACCGGTCCTCCTCCGCTTGCCAGAAAGCGCCTGCGATCACTGCCACTGGAGCCACTGCAGGGTCTCTATAAGCTTCCTCCCTCTCAACGTCCCCGACACTCTCGTTCACCCCATCATTCTCACCCCCATCATTATCACCCCCATCATTATCACCCCCATCATTATCACCCGCATCATGGCCCTCAGGATGACCTGGCTTTAATGTGTGGCAGCAGTGGTGGGGTGCTGCATGGTAGAGGCGCTGCATGGAACGCGGATGGCTTTTCTGCTCAGTGTTTCACTCTGCAGGGATATCCGACGGCCTGGATTGGTTGGTCGGATCATTGCACGGTTGGGAGTGGAGGTGTTGAACTTCACCAAGCTTGCGGGCTGCCCTGCTTTGGTTGTGAAGGCGGCGGTTTTAGCCCTTACAAGGTGCCGCAGCAGCAACAGCAGCAGCAGCAGCAGAAGTGGGAGCAGTGGGAACAGCAGTGGGAGCACCAGCACCAGCACCAGCACCAGCAGCAGCAGCAGCAGCAGCAGCAGCAGCAGCAGCAGCAGCAGCAGCAGCAGCAGCAGCAGCAGCAGCAGCAGCAGCAGCAGCAGCAGCAGCAGGAGCAGGAGGAGGAGCAGGAGCAGCAGCAGCAGCAGTGGGAGAAGTGGGAGCCAGTTCTAGAGTCAGCAGAACGAGAGCAACAGTGGGGACGCGATCGTGTGTTCTGTATGCAGCAGCAGTCATCGCCCACTGTAGCTTTATTCCCTCCACCACCACCAGCACCAGCAGCAGCAGCACCACCAGCAGCAGCCGCAGCAGCCACCGCAGCAGCAGCAGCAAGCGTGGTTTGTTGCAATGAGGGCCTGAGAGCTCCACTATCTACAGAAGCAACAGCATCTCGTCATTTCCCTCTGCTTCCTGCTCATCCTGCGCAACAGCGGCATCTCCCCCCTCTCACCCAGAAGCAGCTGCCAGGGAAACCCAGTGCCGGATGGAGAGTAGAAAGCTACGGCGGGTGCACTGGAATGATCAGCAGCAGCTCCATCCCAGATGATTCCCCTAGCAGATGCCCCCACAATGGAAGAATGGATTCAAGAACAGAGCCACTGCATCCACTCGACGGCTGCCATTGGAACCCTTGCTGGACACTACCCGAAGCGAGCGTGAGCCAGAGAGGGGAAGGTGTGTCTCAATTGAGCGCCGTCTCTCCCCACCTTTGTTTGAGTCGACTCAAAAATAGCGTCAGCCAGAGAGGGGAAGGTGTGTCTCAATTGAGCGCCGTCTCTCCCCACCTTGCAGCCTCAGAGATTGCTGCAAGGATTCTCGAGACACGGCGTGTGGCACAGAGCACACCGGAGGGGCAGCAGCACTTTGTGGCTGCCCGTATACATAACATGGTTGCCTGCAGTGACAAGATCATTCCTGCTCCTGCATCCCTGGCTTGTCCCGTGCTGATCCCAGAAGAAACCTTCTTCCCTGCACTCCATGCCTTGTCTCCGCGCCCCATTGCTCACAATCAACAACTCCTGTGGTCTCAACCCGTGTCTGCATTTCCTGTAGAGGGTGGTCTTGCTAGTCAGTGTCTACCCCATTTGTCTCTCAACTCGCCTATGGGTGGAAGAAAGCGGGTTGGTCGAAGGCCCTCTGCCGGCAAACTGGTAAAGCTTGCTCCTGCGCAGCTAGCTCCGGCCAAGGTCCCATGCGCTCGGCTTCGCCAGTCTAGACTCGTTTCAATTGCACCGGCATCAACCACTTGAAAGTCCCGTGTGCACGGCTTTGGCGATGTTGACTCGTTTCTATCACTTTGGCTTGGGCACCCCAGCCACCCTTTAAGTATAGAGGCTGACCGAAATGGTCAAACTAGGGTCAAGGCTGGGTCCAGCTTGAACCACGGAAATGGTACTTCATACAGGATAAGAACTTTGAGACCTCGAGAGACGAATCTCAAAAGCCGATGACTCCAAGCGTTTAGGTTCTGAAGTACTGTAGTAGTTTTCATTATCAGAGTGATTTAATGATCATGTCACAACATGGCATTGAATTATCAGGCACAAGGGTGAGCAGCGCCTGATGAGCTGGCATCATGCTATCTTACACGTTTTGCTTGCTTCCTTAGGCGCAGGTTCAATGCATCACATTCAGTTTGTTGTGCCATGTCCAGCTCGTCTACAGTATGCAAACTCTTGAAAATTGCAAGCAGTGCAACAGGAATAATAAACAGAGAAGCAAAACCTGAGAAACATTTTTGTTCAGTGAACGAACACCTTAGTGCATTGCTGTCCAGCCAGTGTATATTCAAGTTTCATTCCAACGCATTTCGTGACGTCGTCAATCAGCGGAGCATGCACTCGAACCGTCACACTGCGGCTGTGGCATGCACAAAACAAACACCCTTAGACACCGACATGCAGGAACAGTTGGCCATGGTCCAACAGTGCATCCCTGGGGTGGGATCATTTCGGCCACAGCAGTCCCAAAAGTTCTCCACATGGGACCAACACATTGTGATAGGACAGTGCAGCATGCAGTAACACCGCCACACATCATCATACGACCAGTGAGATGAGGCCCCTTAGTGCATCCAGGGTCCATGGGGTCGTTGCGGCCGCAGCAGTCCCAACCCAACAGCTCACCACATGGTTACCGTAACACATCGCCATAGTAGCATGCAGTATCACCACATCACGCATCGTCATATGACCGGTGAGGCCCCTTAGTGCAGCCAGGATCCATGGGGTCGTTGCGGCCACAGCAATCCCAAAAGTTCTCCACCTCGCCCCACTCCGCCCGTGTCTCCTCTGAATGGTAGAGAAACTCCGTGCCCACCTTGTGGTACGAGAATGACTGCATTTCGAAAAGGGCACAAACAGAGAGTGAGAAGGCAAAGGAGGAGTGTAAGGGAGCGGCAGCAGCAGCAGTCCCACCCAAAAGCTTTCCATCTGGGCCCACTCCGCCCTGGTCTCCTCTGAGTGGTAGAGAAACTCCGTGCCCACCTTGTGGTACGAGAATGACTGCATTGCACAGAGAGTGAGAGGGGAAACGGGGAGATAATAGGGAAGGGAGAGATGAAGAAGCTGCAGCTGCCCCATAAGTTGCTCTCCACCTCTCCCCACTCCGCCCTTGTCTCCTCTGAGTGGTAGAGAAATTCCTTGCCAACTTTGTGGTACGAGAATGACTGCATTGCACAGAGGAGACAAGGGAGTGCACAGAGAGTGAGAGTGCAAACAGGGAGAGCGGTGGCAAAAGAGGAGTAGAAGATTCAAAGATAAAGCGGTCACAGCAGTCTCGTCTGAGTGATAGAGGAGCTCCTCCTTGCCCACCTTGTGGTACGAGAAGGGCTGCATTTGAAAGAGGTTAAGAGGGCAAACGGGGAGTAAGCAAGGAGGAGTCCAATCAAGGTACGAAGCTGAAGAAGCTGCAGCCCTGGAAAATAAGAACCCCCTTTCTCATCCTACCCCTCCCTCTTCTCGTCAAAATAGATTTCGAGAATTCTTGAGCTTTGTTTTGGAATTCTGAACCCTACTCCACCCCTTTTCAAAGCCGTGACCCTTGTGAGAATTTGCAAAAACCACCACGAATTGTGGTAGGTGCAGTTCCAAAGGTTGCAATGGCATGGAAGCACTAGGTGAAGGTGTTGTCTAGATTGGAGTGCAATACGGTATGGGGTGAAAACAGCACGTACGCAGAGGGCAGCAGCAAGGAATAGGTGTAGGTGTGGGAGAATGATTGGGGAGTGTCGGGCAATACCAAGAGCATGTGAGAAATTAGGCATGAAGAAACTACGTATGAGAAATTAAGCATGAGAAAGCAGGCGTTACAAGTAAAACGGGAGTGGGGAACACCAAGGGTACAGTGGAAATTGAGGAGAAAAGGCCTTCCCCCAGAGAGGTACAGTCGTAAGCCTTTGTAAGGGCAAGTAGAGGCATAAGTTGGAAAATAGTCAAGGGGAAGACGTGTGATTTCCTCACCTTCCATTTCCGTTTAACTTCCCCTGGTGAACATGCACAAACGCACAGACACATGGACACGCATATGACACACGCGAACGTGCACACATACACACGTGCGCGCACATTCACACGCGCACACGCACGCACGCACGCACACGCACACGCACACGCACACGCACACGCACACGCGCGCGCGCGCGCGCACACACACACACACACACACACACATACACACATACACACATAGTTGAGAGAGAAATGAAACGACATGCTGCATCAAGAGTGCACAGCCAACCAGACATAACCAGACATGGGCAGCCAGCAAGCAGAAATTAGAGGCGTGGGAGAAGTGTGGGGGGAGGGAGTAGAGTGCAGAGGGAGGGAGAAAAGGAGTTCTGCCGAGAGGGTAATGGAGAGCAGAGGGGAAGAGGGAGTACAGGAAATGCAGGAACGTTCTGGTGGCAGAAAACAGGTGGGAGGGAGGACAGGAGGGGTACCTGGACGAGCGGGATGAGTGTTTGCATTCTATATCACCCCATGGCACAACCGAATACATACCTTCACCAGAAACAGTCCCATAAATCCGTACCATACCTCTCACACATACCACACCGTACTGTTTCTGATGCTCATACCGCATCCCACCACTGCTATACCTCCAAAGAATGGCTCGGACCATGTCTCACCACTGCTTACTGGCATACCTCCTAGTGCGTACTGCATATAATGGCTCACACATAGACACCCAATAGCCTGCACCATATTTCGCTCTATAGCCTGCCGCACCATAGCACGCATCCTGCTCCGTAGTGTGCGGGGTGGAAGGAGCAGGCCGAGGGATGGTTATCGCATTAAACATAGCATCACCCAGAGCATAAAGCATACCTCATGTCACCACTCTATAACTCCATAGCACAGCCTGCACCAAATCCCATTTCGGCAATGTCATGGCACAGCCCGCACCACATCCCACCACTCTGTACCTCCGTAGTGGACGGGGTGGAAGGAGCAGGTGGAGGGGTGGTTCTGGCATAGCCCATCGCCCAGAGCATAACGTGTACCGCACTCCACCCCTCTATACCTCCATTGCACAGCCCGCACCACATCCCACCACTCTGTACCTCCGTAGTGTGCGGGGTGGAAGGAGCAGGCGGAGGGGTGGTTCTGGGCGGGGTCGAACGGCTGCTTGCACTGCTGACACGTCAGCAGCACCGGCGCCTCTGCTGAGCTGGCGCCACTGGCGGCGCTGCTGCTATTGGTCGCCTCTGCTGCCCCGCTGGCCGCACGAGCTGTGAAGGTGACGTTGCGAGCTGCGGGGATATGGGGAGTCAGTGTGTCATGTGCATTAAAAATCCGCACTCTGCATGTGAAGGTGATGCTGCGAGCTGTGTGGATATGGCGTGTAGTCAGTGTGTCATGTGCACTCCTCTGAAAAGCAAGCACACAACTTTCAATGCGCAAGGTCAGCTGCTGCTGCAAGGCTCTTGGTTATTGCGGCGGAGACCCTCAGGAGCCGGCTGCGAGCTGCGAGGATACGGGAATTGCGGGAAGTGCAGTCATGTGACTTTTGATTTGAGACGTCTCAAAGTGCGGTCATGTGACAGACAGGCAATGCTGTGATCTCAGTTGCTTCTAGTAAGTGCAGAGATTCTCAAAAGCCAATTGCTGCCACGCTGGCCGCGCGCTCTGTGAAGCTGACGCTGCGAGCTGCGGGGATGTGTCCAATCGAATCACGCCGAAACCGGTTACCATCACATGTGTCCAATCTAAATGGGGCTCGATTGCGCTCTGTGAAGCTGACGCTGCGAGCTGCGGGGATGTGTCCAATCGAATCACGCCGAAACCGGTTACCATCACATGTGTCCAATCTAAATGGGGCTCGATTGCGCTCTGTGAAGCTGACGCTGCGAGCTGCGGGGATGTGGGGATATGGGGAGTGGTTAGTGTGTCATGTGCATAGGAAAACCGCACTGCTGCATGTGAAAGAGGTGATGGGAGTTGTGGGGAAAATGGAGAGTAGTCAGTGTGTCATGTGAATTGGAAAGCCGCACTTTTACATGTGAAGGTGGTGGTGCGAGCTGCGGGGGGGGTCAGTGTGTCATATACATTGGAAAACCGCACTGCTGCATGTGAAAGTGACGCCGCGAGCTGTGGGTATATGGGGAGTAGTCAGTGTGTCATGTGCAATCCTCTGACAAGCACACAGCTTTCAATGTGCACGCTCAATTGGCTCATGGGACTTGCGGGATTTCTCAGAATCCAGCTGCTGCCACGCTGGTCGCGCGAGCTGTGAAGGTGACGGTGCGAGCTGTGGGGGAATGGAGTGGAGTGGAATGTATCGGACTCAGGGTGAATATATGAGATTTCTCAAAAGTGACTCGGGTGCATTCGACAAAAGTGCAACTTTCCACGTGAGGACAATGCTGCGAGCTGAAGAAGGGAAATTCGACTGTCTCTGATTGGTTGAGAGGGGGTTACGAGAGTGAGAAGAGGAGATTGAGCTAGTAGAGGGGAGGAGAGACTGGGATGTAGAAGACTTGAATAAGTTGAACGAAGAGCGGGTCATTAACGCGCGTTCTTTATTCCTCCTATGATTTTGAAGGGACCAGCAATTGCGAGGTGGTAAATGCGGATGGAGAAGGCATGTTCGGAGACGTAAGAATGCTCGCAGCTTTTCAAGACACGTGAATGCAGGCGTGGCTGACCAGTTGACGCATTCTAACGGCTTTTGAGACTGACCTACAGAGATGCTTTTCGCGTTACTCAGGGCGACAGAACGGAGTCTCACCGGGCGTACAGGGGAAGCGCGCCGATGGATTTGAGGCGCCGCGTGAAACGAGCGCGACTCCGCACGTGGAAGCGGCTCTCAAACCTATGGACGCCATGACTGCTGTGGCAATGGATAAGAGGACACGGTCGGATGTTCGCAGGTAATGCAGTCGTCGCGGCTGTCGCAGCAGGGCTTGTCGCAATGGATTATGGAATGCAGCTCAAGGTGAGCTTGGTCTCTACTAATGCTGTGGTTTTTTTGTTTGAGGGCGTGTTCAGCGTGAACCAAGGGTGTTACATCGCAACCGAGAACCTCCATCACACCGGTCATATTGCTTTAGTAAGTGCATCAGGCGATCGCGCGTTTCTTTTTAACTACACCGCCTGTTTCTGTAAACTGTTTTAAGTTGACAGATTTTTCTCTAGAAACACAACCCTTTTTATCTGAAAATGCCACACTCGAAATCCTTTTTTTTCTCCGTTCTCCAGCCTTCCTTACCGCAGGAAATCCTGAAAAAATCCTTAAAAAGGTGCATTCCTGGAACACGTTTATGTAAAATTCGCAGTATTGGAAACACAGCCTCAATTCGTTGAATCCATCACCAGCAAACCACTTCACTCTTAGACTCATCAGAGATCTCTCCATTCATTACCACCATCCACCTTCAAAATCACGCACTGTTGTTGACTTTTAGCAGTCGTCATCCTAAGGGAGCGTTCGACGCGATAACAACGGAGCCTCTGCCGATTCGATCTCTGGATCCTGTTAATTCAAGTTAACTCTGCTACCGGTCGATTCGGTTTGTTGAACAGTACGTCTCTCGCGTCGCGCCTCCCAGCCAATCAGCGCCATGGCAGCGTTCGACGCGATAACGGAAGAGCCACCACCGAGCCGCCACTGGGACGATCCGGATTTCGAGTCCTTCCCGCCAAAACACTCCGGCTCCGTCGCTCCCTTCCGCTTCGAAGTAGGTTCTTTCTTCGCCTCCTCGTCGCCGCGATGCTTGCCGCGATGTTCGCATTATTAGGAAGCGACCTCTCGTTCCTATCCGCCTCTCGTTCGATTCCCCGACTTGGGAGGCCTTTCCGCTCAAGCACAGCTCCCTCGCTGTCGACATGCGACTCCCCGAGGGGAGTCGCATGCAACGTTGACGTGCAGACGCGCCGCGGTACTCGAATTGTCGGGTCCAGCCGTGTGACGGAAGGGTATTTGTAAATCGAGGAGATTTTACCTCGATATAGAACGCATCGCAATACTACAGCTCGTGATCCATCTGTCCTTAGCTCTGTCGTACGATTTCAATACGGCGATTTACACAGCGCGGATTCGTGTGGTGCAATCGCGACGAGGTGGTTGCGGAATTCAAATTCGTTCCGCGTCTGTAGTGAGGTAGCGCTCTGGATGGCTGATCTGAACCATAGATTCAGGCGGCTGAATGTGAAAGGGTTTTCTGCTGCTGCTGCTTGACGGATGGCTTTCTCTGGAGACTCTTTCTGTGGATTCTTCCCCTCACCCTCTCGTTTCGTCCTCCTTTCCGAATCCTTCCCCTCAACCCCCAGTGGCTGTGACACGACCCCTGTGCCTCAACGCTGCTGCGGCGCCTCAGCTCAAACCTCTTATACCCACTGGTTTTCCCACCTCCCTGCCTTTTTTTTTTCCTCCCTTCTTTGCAACCCCCAGTGGCTGTGGCACGACCCCTGTGCCTCAACCCTGCTGCAGCGCCTCTCCCTCTCTCCGCCTCCCAACACCAGCAGCAGCAGCAGCACCAGCACCACCACCACAACCAGCACCAGCAGCACAACTATCAGCAGAGGTGGTACAATTTTGGCTAGTGGTGGTGGGGTTGGAGAGGGAGGGGACGAGAGGGTGGCGGTGAGACTGCTGCTGGTGGCAGCAGCTCCAGCTAGCAGCGACCTAATAGCCCATGCTGTGGATTTCCTGGGAGGGAATTCTACCTCCGCCCCTCCTTCTGACACACATGCTGCTGCTGGTGGCGCTGGCGGTGCTGACGTGGCCTCCAACGGTGCTTCTGCTGCTGGCAGTGGCAAGAATCCTGAATTTAGACTGGCTGCGCGGATTCACTACGGCAGCGACAGTAGCAGCAATGGCGTTGATGAGGAGAGGTGAGACTGCCGAAATCAGCTGGAAGATCTTTGAGTTGAGAGTGACGGGCCATCAGGGTTCCTCCTCCTGCCATTGTACCTTCTCTGCTGTTGTTTTTGGCCCCGTTGTTGGCCCCGATGCCGTCTCGCCTTCACCAGCAACGCAACCCTCATGCTGCAAAACTCCTATCTCTTGCTGTCATTGTACCTCCTCTGTCTCTTGCTGCTTCAATGTATGGCTCATGGAACTTGTCATATGCTGCATGGTGTATGGTGTATGGCATGTCGTGCATGGGATACGGCAAATGACCCATCCACATGATGCTGGGGTATGGCACATTATGCATGTCACATGCTGCGTGCAACATTATGCATGTCACATGCTGCGTGCAACATTATGCATGTCACATGATGCATGCAACATGATGCATGCTCACATGGTGCATGATCACATGGTGCATGATCGCATCGCGTGCAGATCCTCATCAGCGCAGCACACATCACACCTCTACCTCACAGAGACAGGTGGCACTGCGCTATTGGCTACAGGTCATGGTCGGCTGGAAGCAGAGCGGTGCTTCGAATGGGTGCGAGGCGTCATGGCACATGTGAAACCATCCCTGTGAGTCATGGCGCATGTGAAACCATCCCTGTGAGTCATGGCGCATGTGAAACCATCCCTGTGAGTCATGGCGCATGTGAAACCATCCCTGTGAGTTACAATACGGAAGATGTGATGTTTACCGACATTCTTACAATCATCTCTCCCCCCACTCTCGCATCTCCCTCTCTCCCACCTCCTCCCAACCCTTTCTCCATGCCATCCATCAAAACGGCCATTTTCCTCTCTGCTGACCACCTCTTTCCCCTCACTGCCCTCTCCTCCTTACGGTCACCTCCCATCCATTTCCGACCCCTTCCAATCCGTTCTCCATGCCGCCATCAGAATTCAGGACTGCCATCTTCTCCCACTTGTATCACCCATCCTTGTCTCCCAACCACTCCCCACCCTCCCCAACACCCTCCTCCCCAACACCCTCCTCCCCAACACCCTCCTCCCCAACCCTCCCCCTATCCCATCCATCAGGACGGTCGTGGTTTCCATTCAATCCTTCAACCATCCAACCATTTCCCACCCCCCCCCAACACCTTCTCCATGCCATCAGGACGGTCGTGGTTTCCTCTCTGCCGGCCACCTCTCTCCCCTCGCTGCCCTCTGTGCCGCCCAATCTGCATGCCACGTCACTGGGACCCCTTGCTGACGTGGATGTGTGGCGGCTTGAGACATATGCTTTCAAGGTACGGCTCTGATTGGTACAGATATGTAGCGGCATGGCTCTGATTGCTGAAGAGGTTTGAGGGTATGGCATGTTGTTGTATGGCCGTGTGGACAGCGTGCACCACTTCAACGAATGCTTTTTCAAGTTTCACCAAGTGTGTATGGCACACACATACATGCCACACCAATCCAGTTCCTGTGCCACGTGGGTGTATGGGTTCATGCTTAAACCAGCTCCAACATACGCTTTCAACTTCGAAGTATGTTTATCTTCGGATGATGGTGTCGTTCCATCCAAGTGCGTCTCCTCCTTTTGCATCACAAGTCTTGTGGTGTCCCCACTCCATCACCTACCATCTCTCCACCACGTGCATGCCTTCATGGCCCCCTCATCTTCCCGCCATTCTCAGCCGTCGTCCCTCTCCCCATCTCCTATCCATTTGCCAGCACTGGCATTCTCACTTCTAATAACATTGTTGCTGCTGGTAGCCCATCTCTCCCCTTATTCTTATTCTTATTCCTCTCCCTTTTCCCATCGCTCCTGTTCCCCCCAGGCGTCACCCTTTACAGCCCTCGCCCCTCTCCAAGCCATCACATACCTTCCATGTGGCAGTCTCATCAACGGTCTCCCTGCTGCCCTCCTTTCACTCTCCCCTCCCATCCCTGTTGCCTGTTCCCCCCAGGCGTCACCCTTTACAGCCCTCGCCCCTCTCCAAGCCATCACATACCTTCCATGTGGCAGTCTCATCAACGGTCTCCCTGCTGCCCTCCTTTCACTCTCCCCTCCCATCCCTGTTGCCTGTTCCCCCCAGGCATCACCCTTTACAGCCCTCGCCCCTCTCCAAGCCATCACATACCTTCCATGTGGCAGTCTCATCAACGGTCTCCCTGCTGCCCTCCTTTCACTCTCCCCTCCCATCCCTGTTGCCTGTTCCCCCCAGGCGTCACCCTTTACAGCCCTCGCCCCTCTCCAAGCCATCACATACCTTCCATGTGGCAGTCTCATCAACGGTCTCCCTGCTGCCCTCCTTTCACTCTCCCCTCCCACCCCTGTTGCCTGTTCCCCCCAGGCATCACCCTTCGCAGCCCTCGCTCCTCTCCCAGCCATCGCCTACCTCCCATCCGGCAGTCTCATTGACGGCCTCCCTGCTGATCTCCTCTCCCGTCTCTGCCTTCACCCAGTTTTCGCTCTCCTGCCCCTGACCCTCATGCCCCTGTTATCCAGGCATCACCCTTCGCACCCCTCGCTCCTCTCCCCGCCATCGCCTATCTCCCATCTGGCAGTCTCATCGACGGCCTCCCTGCTGCTCTCCTCTCCCATGTATGCCTCCTCTCCTGAGTCTTTTGTAGCCCCTCCTCTTCGTCCATGCTTTTCTCGCTCCTCCCCATGCTCTTCTCTCATGTGCTTCCCACTATCCCGTCCTCTTGTACCCTTGCATCACTCCCTTTCCCATCTGCAATCGCGGTCCGGCGTTTGTCATATGTATTCCCACCATTATTTAAGCGCCGCAGCAACAGCCTGGCGTTTGCCATATGTATGCTGTGTGACTGACCAGAGAATCTTCATGTCTCCCATGTGTGTCATCCCCAACCTTCGCTCTTCTTTTCCAACTGGGCTAGAATACAAGGACATCAAGCTACACAACAGTTTGGGTCACAAGAATCTCCTCGAAACTTTCGTCCTACCTCTCTCGTTCCCCACACTCCTCTCTCCCACTTCCGGAACCCCACTCTTCCACTTACTCCCACGTCGCCTCTTGCATACTCCCGTTTCTCACTTGCAATCCCGTCGCCCCTCTCACAGTGTCAGCCCCGGCAGCTGCCAGCTGTCGCGCTCTCATTCGTGGACCGCCACTGGAGCGGCAGCTCCCCAGGCACGGTGCGAGGCATGGCATGGGTCATGGGGGAACTCGTGGCCGCATGTGCTGGTGGTGAAGGGGATGCGGGAGCAGGAGGAGGACAGGGAGCAGCTGTGAGGGAGGCCCTGCTGAGAGCAGGCGCCATGTGGGCGAAGCAGTGGTGTGCTGTGCCGGCAGGGCATGGGAACGGTGCTGCTGAGCTGTACGTGTGACTGGAAGGGAAGGCACCACCACTGGAGTGGCAGCTCCCCAGGCACAGTGCGAGGCATGGCATGGCTCATGGGGGAACTCGTGGCTGCATGTCCTGGTGCCCAAGGGGGTGGTGGGGCAGGAGAACAGGGAGAAGCAGCAGCAGCAGCAGCAGCAGCGACAGCAGTGGAGGGGGAGGGGGTTGAGGCTGTGAGGGAGGCCCTGCTGAGAGCAGGCTCCTTTTGGGCAAAGGAGTGGAGTGCTGTGCCGGCAGGGCATGGGAACGGAGCTGCTGAGCTTTATGTGTGACGTGGACGGGACTACAGTGGGAGAGGGAGGGCTGTTCACGGTGCGAGGCATGGCATGGCCCTTGGGGCAAATTGTGCTGGCGTGTGATGGTTAAGGCCATGCGGGAGGCTTTGCCGAGAGAAGGAGGTGTGTGGCCGAAGCAGCGGTCTGCTGTGCCTGCAGGGAATGCGGACGAAGCTACTGAGATGTATGTGTGCAGTGGAAGGTGCTAGGGTGAATTCCATTAGTGTAACAGAAGGGAGCACTGTTGGAGTGGGAGGGCAAATCTCCTGGCACCATGAGAGGCATGGCTTGACTCATAAGTCCAACTGTGGAGGCGTGTGCTGCTGTGGACGAGGTGGGGAAGCAGCAGGGATGCTGTTGGAGTGAGAGGGCTTGCTTAGCAGGTTGTCACTGCACGAGGCATAGCATGGCTTCTGAGACGAAGGGATGGCGGGAAGCATTTCACAGTTTGTGGGCTGAGTCGTGGAGGCGTGGGCAGCTGTGACGGGAGGTGCGTACTAGGAGAAGCGGCAACAGCAGCACGTGCAGCACCAACAGTAACAGCAGGTGCAGCACCAACAGTAGCAATAGGTGCAGCAGCAGCAGTAACAGCAGGTGCAGCACCAACAGTAGCAGCAGGTGCAGCACAAACAGTAGCAATAGGTGCAGCAGCAGCAGCAGCAGCAGGGTTGGTAAGGGTATGAAGCAGACTCTTGTGAGGGAACGCATTCTGCATGGGCAGACTCTTGTGAGGGAACGCATTCTGCATGGGCAGACTCTTGTGAGGGAACGCATTCTGCATGGGCAATGAAGTGGATGCTGTACTGCGCTGTGCCTGTTACACATGTTAGTGTGCCAAAGAGCTGTGTGCTTCAGATGGGTATGGAGCTGTCATGAAAATGGGCTCGAGTGGCAATGTACTTACGGTATCGTACGTGTTTCGGGGGATGACAAGTTAAAAGGTCCCTCGTCGTAGCGACTTTCACTTCTAGCTAGAACTCCCACAATGTTTCGTGGCCTTGAACGAAATGCCTAAGGTGTTTCAACATTGAAACAAGCCATCGTATCGCATATATAGGCACTGACGAACTGCAATTGTTTCAAGGGTGCTTATGACGAGCACACGATGACCACGATGACCATGAGCAACATGGTGAATGTGTATGTGGGGACGATGTTTTTGTGGTTCCCACCAATCAAAAGGACGTGATCCTTTTAGCCCTATTTTTTACCAAACATAAGAAAGTATAGAGGAGCTGTTTAAACGCATACTATCGCATCACACGGTAACGAAGAGAATTCAGGTGAGACTTTCTTAGGGCTCTGTCCACGAAGGACAGATATGTTGCACCACGCGCCGCGTCACCCGCAAGTCTCGCTGCACCGTTAGGCTTTGCCCTCATCGTTCTTATCGTTGGCACTGTCGGATGGAGCGAGCGTCGTTGCGACGCACCATGCACGACGCGTGCGTGCCCTACATGATGTCTCAAAGCGACCGCAATTTCGCATGCAGCTGCAGTCGCGTCGCGTTGGTCGGAGACTCCCATACGGCCCTGCGCGATGGACCCTAGGTATCACGAGTTAGGAGGAGAAACGCAGAGAACGATTTCGCGATACAATTTCTCTCATTAAGAGGAGAAAGAGTTAATCGTGATCTCTCGTTAAGAGGAGAAACAGGGAATGAATTCGCGATAAAATTTCTCTCGTTTGAGCGATCCGGGTGTACCTCGGTGCAGCCGCAAAATCGAGCCTATAGTAGCGATCATGGCGCAGTGGGCTTGAGCAATCCGAGTTCACGCGGATTTCCATTCTGACATCTGTCAAGGAGGTTTTCTCGTTACGCTATCAATGGTTGTCACGTAGATGCTGATGGCATGCGATCGTTCTCATCCCCTCGTGTTTCACGAAAGGGCCTCTGCCTCTTCCTACGACGATCACATCGCGCGAAAGAGTTTTTCGAGTCGTAGGAGGTTTGCAGTGAGGGCCTCTGCTTCTTCCTACGAACAAACGCTTCACTTCGTAGTAACGACTCCGAAATAGTGTTCTCACAAGTTCGGTCCTCCTCAGCGCAAAGCTCATACTACCAGTGACCCGCCGAACTTGCGGCCCGCAGGGTTTCTACTCGCAGCGACGTTGCGTCCGTCACGGAGGGGATCCTGAGAGTTTAGTTGTTCCCTATACAGCATCTAAGTGAGTAGCTACAACAGTGAGTATGATTGCGGGTGGATGGCTATGTCTTAGATGTTGCTGAAAGGCCAAATTGGTGGTGGTTCTTTATTGTGGAATGCCGCATCTTCCTCGTGCATGTCCGATCATCAAAGAATGTGAATATTTCTAAGAGTCTTAGGTCTCTTTAGACTTAAGAATTGCACACGAAGTATGTTCACTGTGTTTTCCTCATCTCCTTGCTGTTTTATCCCGTAGTAAAATCCCATTCCAGTTCAAGTCTCAGTTGCTGTCACCCTCTTATTCGCCATTCTTCCCAGTGCCATCCCTCTCCTGGCCTCATCTTCTCCTTGTCAACCGTTTTCTCTCTTTGAAAGTCGAGCAGGCCAGGGTGGAGGGTGTGAAACAGCTGAGGTACTGCACGAGCTGTGGAGCGGACGCCATGGAAGGTAGGCGCGCTGTGGCATTGCAAGCTAAAATTGGTTGCTCAACTTAATCACGTAGTCGGTTTTCGAGAGATTTACAAGAATGCCTCGTTTCATATATTCTGAACAGTCGCCTAGTCTCACGTAGGGCTCGTGCTGACCCTGGTAGACAGGCTTGAGCCTGGAACGTCACCCACCCGCGCTTGTGCATTCTCTTCCCCCCACGTCCATCTGCTGCAGTTAATTCCTTGTCAGGGACGTTCCAATGGCAAATTGACGGGTTTTCTGAGTTGACAGAGGTGTCGGTCTATTCAAACACCTTCCTGGTTGGGGGCTACAGCTGGTGTGTGCTTTTGTTGGCCGCGTTTCAGGTTGTTTATAGAAGGATACAGCCTGGAATGAGGTGCTCACTCCTTGGCACAACCTCTTAAACCTCTCAGTGTTTCCTTGCCTTCGCATTCCTCCTCCTCATGCAAGTCCCATTGTTTATTACCTCACATGGAAATTTGCTTAAAGATCGTCCCTTGTTCCCAACTTGTGTGTGGAATTCTTGTTTCCACCTGCCATCTCTTTCCCTTATCCGTTCATCTTACCCATTCTTCCTCTCTTCATTCAACTATCATCAAACTTTTCGACTTGAATTCCGAATTTCCGCCTCTTTCCTTCTCAAAGCGGTTGTTGAGATTGTGATATCCCTGTCCCCTGCACTTTCAGCCAGCCCACGGGTTCGTAAATCCGTAAGGACATCAACTTTTATTCGATTCCACTGCCTGGGCCTGCACCCCTTCATAGGATCTCTTATTCATTCCTTTCCTTCCCACACACCTCTTTCCCTTCATCAACAAAATTTTTGTATATGTTTCTTCCTCAATAACTACCCTCCATCCTCTGTATAGGCAACTGTTGGTGCACCTGGAGAATGGCGAAAAGTCAGAGGACTTGTCATTGTACCTTTACGTGGCAAACGCTGCAACGCTGCAGCCCGGTTGGACCAAGCGCATGGACTTTGTGCTGACCGTGGTCAACCAGTTTGACCGGACAAAGTCGGTGAAGAAAGGTATGGATGAGAATGAGCGACGCAAGCGGAATCAACACAACGCCCAACCGCTCTTGTTTTGGACCTAAGAATGAACCCGCGCGACCAGAGTCGTGTCGGGTCATTGGAGGTTTGACACGGCTTTACCCAATAAGTCGAACCCTGCAACCTGAAGTTTCTGTTGTAAACTACAAACAGTTGAACAAACGGTGCTAAGCTATGTCCCTCAACATCGACTTAAATACAAGGTTAACATAAGTCAATTAGGCATGAGCAGGGGGCGAACTCGAACATATTCGTGTTCGCCCCCTGACGAACATGGCCTTCTGCCGAACCGAACAGTGTTCGGTTCGGCGAAAGACTTGAGTGAAAATAGGTGTTCGCCGTTCGCCCTAGGAGGCGAACGAATTGCTGCAACAGGCGAACACGAACATGTTCGTGGCGAACATGTTCGTGTTCGCCCAGGGGGAAATTCAATATAGAGTAAAATTCAAATCGTTGCACATTCCCTCCCCCCACCTCCCAAGCCAGTCCCGCCCTGCTTCATCCATCTAGTGCCAGCGTGCAACGGCGAAATGCTAGATCCGCACTTAAGCAACGGCGAAATGCGAGATCCGCACTTAAGCAACGGCGAAATGCTAGATCCGCACTTAAAACCGGGGTGCACATTCAGCTGAATGTGCATCAAAGGTTATCCCTTGACTGAGTGGGTTACGAGGTGTGCTTTCAACCCCTTCAAGTCGAAATTCGTTTCCCCCCTCCCCCGCAATTTCGTTTCCCCACGCCCCCGCAATTTCATTTCCCCCTCCCCGTCGAAATTCGTTTCTCCCCTCCCCCGCAATTTTGTTTCCCCCCTCCCCCGCAATTTCGTTTCCCCCCCCTCCCGCCAATCTGTTTCATCCCTCCCGCCATTCGGTTTCACCCACTCCCGCCATTTCACCCCCTCCCGCCACCTACGAAATGCCCGAAGCTCTAGCGGAATCATTTTTTTGTCGCCCCTCGTGAGCCAATCACTGTTTTTCTCCAAACCCCCTTCCCAACATCTCAAGCCGAACCGCGTTGAATGTGCACCCTGGTTTTAAGCAACGGCGAAATGCTAGATCTGCACTTCAGCAACGGCGAAATGCTCGATCCGCACTTAAGCAACGGCGAAATGCTCGATCTGCACTTAGTGAACGGCGAAATGCTCGATCCGCACTTAAGCAACGACGAAATGCTAGATCTGCACTTTGCTAACTGCGAAAGGCCAGATCTGAGCCCAAACACCAAGGCCCGCGACCTAAAAATTGGTCGCGGGCCTATTCGTCGACGAACACATTGGTGTTCGTCGAAGGCCTGTGTCGAACACGAACACGTTCGTGTTCGACGCGCCTCGGCGAGCTGAGCCGGGCGAACGGCGAACGTGTTCGGGCGAACACCGATGGAGTGGATTGCCATATGGGTGTGAACTTGGAGGGAGTAAGATGAGTCTTTGCAATGTGTATACGTCTATCTGGATGAATTGAGGTGCCTAAAAAATCATCTCACGTCGCGTGGATTATGTCCGGACAATCTTTCACGAGCCTCCTCCCTGTGCTTGCACCTTCTCAATTTACGTGATTTTTAGAAACGAGCAACCTGTTCAGTCCACGCGCGCCCAGCTGGGGCTGTTCCATGATTCCACTCAAGGACCTCAACGACCTCTCTAAAGGCTTCCTCGTTAATGACAGCGTGATTTTCGAGGCCGTGGTGAAAGTGTGCGATAAATCAAAGAGTCAGACCGGATTCGTGGGGCTCAACAACCAGGGGGGCCTGTGCTGCATGGCCCCGTTGATTCAGATGCTGTTCCACATCCCCTTATTCCGGAAAGCCATGTATCGGTTTTCTGCTGCTGAGAGCGACCTTCCTGCTGGCAGCATTCTCTTAGCGCTTCAAAGCATATTCTACAGGCTCCAGTTCACCGATTCTAGTGTTTCTACCAAGAACTTAACTAAGAGGGTTGAGTGGGAGGATGGAGACTTGTCAATGAAGCATGACAGGAGTGAGGTGTACCGGATGTTGCGTATGAAACTGGAGGCGGAGATGAAGGACTCATCTGTGGAGGGCACGATGGAGAATCTGTTTGGTGGTCATCTCATGAACTACGTTGAGTGCATCAACGTAGACCACAAGTCCTCCTGGAAGCAAGCATTTGATGGTGGTGGTGGTGAGCATGAGCGTTATTCCTTGAACTTTTAGGAACTGGTCGCTACAACTCCTTGCTTTAGGTTGTGTCCTATCCTATGTCCCCCCCCCTTTTTTAGTCTATAATTCTGATCTCTGGCCGTGTTGATCGCGTGCAGGCTTGGTGCTGGATGTGAAGGGGTGCAAGGACGTGTATGCAAGCTTGGACAAATATGTGGAGGTGCAGAACCTTGATGGCAACACCAAGTTCTATGCGGAACAACATGGGGCGCAGGTGAGTGTTTGTTGCATGATGGGGGATAAAACTATGTTTGGCTTGGCGGTCATGAATTAGCGAAAGCATGCAGATAGGCTTTCTGAATGTTATTTCTAGGGGCCATGCAACCAGCAATGCAGGAACTGTGAGAGAGATGTGCTTATGCTGTTCGGTACAGGATGAGTCGAAATGGTCAGAATTTCATCTATTCTCATCTGAAATGGTCAGGTAATGTTTTCGTGGGCCATGTTTTACACATCTCCGGATTTCGTCCATTATCAGAAGCTGCACATATAAGTTTTTTTAATTAGAGAAGCCATGAGGGATGTAGTTTCGATTACCCTACCCCCTCCATGGTTTTGTTTTCCGTCTCCCTGTTGTGTTGCCTCTTTGTCGCCCACACGTCTTCACTCTTGTTGACTGTGTTTCGCCCTAGTTGCTTCCTCGACTCACGGATCACAATGACAATGCACCACAACACCTCCCTGCTCTCCATATCTTCCTTCTTGTGCTTCCCCTCTCTTGTGCTTCCTTTTTGTCGTATGCCCTGTCTACAATACCAGGACGCCAGGAAAGGTGTGCTCTTTGTGGACCTCCCACCGGTGCTGCAGCTGCATATGAAGCGCTTCGAGTACAATCCAGTGGACGGGAAAACTGCGAAGGTACTAAGTCATGACACATCATGGGGGGAAAGAATGTGTTGTACAACTTTTACATGCCAAACTACTGCTCTCTGGCTCTAGAAAGTTTTCTGCCAGCTCTATCCCTATTCGGTTATCAAGCAAGTATACTATCTTATGTTTTGTTGCCTCTTTGCATTGCCGGCTAGCTAGAGGAATTGCAGAACTCTCTCTGGATGTCTGTAGGCTGTTCATAGTTTCCGCCCCATGTCCACCCTCCCATCTTGCGTCCTCTTGAGTCCACCCCTCCTTCTCGTGCGCAGTTTTCATATGGAACTGGATCGGTGGACATTTCACTTCGTTTGTTCCATTCATTCTTCTGTCCTCTACTTCTGTCCGGTTCATCTTTACTCCCCCCGCACTCCCACCTACATGTCCACCTGCACGTGCACTCTAGGTCAAGGACCGCTGTGAGTTTCCTCTCGAGCTGAACTTGGATAAAGAGAGCGGCAAGTACCTCACTCCGAACTTGGACAAGACTGGCTTCAATCGTTACCTATTGCACAGGTGTGACAAGGGAAGGCTTTATTTCTGGTAAAAACTACGTAGGTTTTCATGGCATGAGCCTTTATCTGAGTCGGCAACTAGGTTTATGTAGAAGGCAAAAACACACACACACACACACCCACGCACCCACTGTTGTTACTATTATTATTCACCAATGCTTTACTGAAGTCCTACCGTTTGTACCTTAACCCACGTTTAGGTAACTTTTGGTGTATGAATTATTTTTATTTTTCTTATTCTTCTTTTTTAGGTTCACTTAGAGGTTGTCCTTGTGAGTTGAATCTGTGCATCAGTTACCCACTTCCGTTCTCAGACAAAATATTTGAAGCACCTAACCACAAATCTACATCGTAGCTTGACTGACTTCACGTGTGTCTCATCCTTACCATGACCGTGATGATGCTGCATCCCGCCCACCCTTTTTCATGCACGCAGTTTTCTGGTTCACACCGATGGAGTTGATGGCAGCCATTGCTACGCCTTGATTCGCCCGAACCTCGGATCCCAATGGTATGCTACCCGTGCTGTTTTGCTTGCCTCTCTTCCCTATTCATCGCCCCACATTTCTGTCTCGCTAACGTTCTTGTATGCATGCTCATTCCTCATTTCCTTCTAGGCGTTCTTGGAAAATGGGACGTTTGGTTGGAATGTGTAGTACGCACACATTCGTGCAGGATTTCCTCCTAGTTGTTGTCCATCAACCCTCGTCACTCTCCCCAACGTACACTCCTCTCCCCGACGTACACCACTCTCTTCCCAATCAGGCTCAAGTTTGACAATGAAGAAGTGACAAAGGAGGAATTCAAGGGCGAGGATGAGGTACGCTTAGTATGCTTAGCAGCTATATCATGTGCTTCGATCTTGACCCTTGCCATGCAAGATAAGCAGAAGATGATTTAGTTGGAGTTATTTTCGCTCATTCTTCCCTTTCCTATCGTTTGTCTCTCCTTCTGGCCTCACCCGCACGCACCTCCAAATCCACCTAGCTGTACACCAATGCCTACATGCTAGTCTACATCCGCCAGTCCGACCGGGAGAAGATTCTCTGCAGCAACGATGTGAATAGCATCGCTCAACCGTTGCAAGTAGGTGCTGTCTCACACCTTGTCCCTCATGTGTATTCGAGTTTTGTTATGTTATTGCGGTATTTTCCTCGCCTTTTTCTCTCATTCCCCTCTGCCGTAATGGATTCCTGTGATGCGTTTTTACTGACATCATGTCAAGCAAACATCTCGTTTATTTCTCATATCTTGTTAAGTCAGGTCATCTATTATGCTTACTATGCGCCGTGCCTTGCTTTTTGCCTTTTTATCCTGCTCACTCTACTGTGCGTCAGCATAGCACCATCGCCTTAGCCATTCACACCTCACCTGTCTGCCTTCCATTTCCATTCGTAGGATCGGTTGAAGCTGAAGAAGAGGGAGGGGGACCAGCTCACAGAGATCAAGGTGGCACGAGAGGAGGACCTACGGCAGCAGATTGGACGAAACATCTATCTTAATCTTGTGGACCATGCACTAGTCAGAAACTTTCGAGTGCATAGGGACATGCCGTTTTCAGAATTCAAGGCAGAAGTGAAGAGGGAAATGGGGATTCCGGTTGCCAGGCAGCGGTTTTGGGTGTGGGGGAAGGAGCCAAGTACAATGTCTCAGCCGATCAAGCACCTGAGTGCAGAGGAGGAGGAGACGACGGTGAGTAGCAAGAGGACGCATTGAGGGGCAATAATGGGGGAGGATGACTGCTTTGGGACGTCTCAACATAGCCGCATAAGCATGAAGTTGTTCTGAGATGTCCCACTTCCAAATTAGTGTGACATGTTGCTTAGGTTTAACAGCGTTTCTTGAGAGGAGTGGTACGGTGGAAGGAAGAACCTTGAACATCTGTGTTGCCGTTCTTGTGTCTCCCTGTTTGCAACTAAACCAGGTGGAGATGTTGAGGAGATCCTTCAAGAAAGGGAACATGGCAGTCCATCTGTTTCTGCAAGCCACTCCCCCCTCCTCTGTAAGACTAACTGCATACTGCTGCCAAATTTCATCTCTCATCTTATCTGTGGCCTTAACTAGTGTCACCCTGAATTCAGAGTGAACGAATCTCACCTTGGATGTTGCATATCTTCCCTGGGGTGTATTCAAAGCTATCTACCGTATTAGTTCTATACTTCCACATTTGTGAATGACGAAGCTGTGCCTTTTAATGGTTCAATTCAACCATTACTTGATTTCCGTCGCTTTTTCCATTTCCACCCATCCGAACTTCCACTTTCCTCCCGCATGAAGTTCTGGTTCCTGGCTGGCCTTGATTTGGTGTATAGTCGGTCCTTGGTTGCTTGGCCTTATAGGCTCGATTCAAGTCGCAAAAAGTCTTAAGGCACTCATTGGTACTTCCAGGGCTCCCCTCCACAAGTCAATAGACAAGGACTCACTTGTTGCTCTTTTGCAGGGGAGGAATAAGGACGATCTTCTGCTATTTCTCAAGCTCTACGATCCGACACACAGCGCTATTAGGTAAATGCTGGCCGGGAGGTGTGTAGATGGTATGCATACTAGCCAGCATTTCAGTTTCAACATCAGGTTTCGTCTCGTATCCATGATTCGCCTTCAAAGCATGCTTTAAGCTTCCCCCCTTCATCTCTTCATCTCTTGCCTCCCCTTATCTGTAGCCTTGTCGTTTGACATTCTTAAAAGTGGTATGTCTTTCTTCTGAATCCTCTTCCTCCATGTTCCCACCACCCAAGGTATGCAGGCCATCTCCTTGTGAAGTCTGACAGCAAGCCTGCAGATGTGATCAATAGGGTCAAAAAGCTGTGTGGCCTTGCTGCCAACGAGGACGTCTACCTCTTTGAGGTCTGTTTGTAGTCTGGCTGGTGGCGGGAAGTGATTGTTGGGCAAAGGAACCAGCATTAAGCAGTCTTTCACACCTCTCCCCCGTTTCTCTCCCCTCTCACTCTCCCTCTTGTCGTCTCTCGTTCCCCTCTCTCTTTATCTTGCCCTCAACTTTCACATTGCCCCCTCTCAATTCGTTATATTCCTGTACCTCTCTCATCGCCCCTTACCCTCTTCCCTAAGATTCAACGAGAATGAACATCAACCTATACACCTATCAAACATGATCCTCCACCCTCCCCCCCCCTTTGTCACTCACCCGCCCCTTCAGGAGAGAAACTTTGGCATGGATGTGGAGTGTAAGCCCGTCGACGCATCGACCTTCGAAGGCATGGAGTTGAAGGAGGCCGGCATTCTGTGCGTGCAGAAGGCACTCACAGCAGCACAGAAGAGCGGTCTGAAGCACCCGGACATGCCCTCGTACCTCGAGTTTGTGCAGAGCCAGCAGGTGGTGCACTTCCGACGCCGGGAAAATCCCAGGGAAGACGCGTTCTGCCTGCTGCTGTGAGTTGTTCAAGCACTCCTTTGCTAGTGGGCTGGCTGCACCTGGCACCACGTTTCCGTCTGTGTTATCTGCTCACTCCCTCAATTTTGAGCCGGAAAGGACACAGATGAGTGTGTCATGGTTACTCCGAAAACATGTTCTTCCACTGTTGTTTTCTAGCCATTCACTGAGATTCCAACCAGAGAAACGCATGAGTGTCTCTTAGAATATTCCCAAAACACCTTCTTACCAACGGTTTGTCTCGTCGTTTGTCAGTTCCAAGCAGGACACGTATGACAAAGTGGTGGAGCGGCTAGCAGAGAAGCTTGGATTAGCCGATCCTCTCAAGATTCGTCTCACCGCACACAACTGCTACTCACTGCAACCCAGGCTGCCCGCGATCAAGTACCAAGGGGCGGAGTGCCTTGGTGATATGCTTGCCCACAACAATCAGGTACATACAGAGACTGGCTGTCTAGGTAGGCCTTTGAACGATGCTACTATGTGGATGATGTGTGACCATAACATAGAGGGATTGGCAGCCCATGTGTGTCATAACTCCACAGTTATCAACCTCGTGCTTTTTCCTGTGGCTTCGGGCTTCAGGCATGCTCTCAACTTCAAGACAAACATAGGCTATCTGGCATACTTCCCTAAAGTATTCCTTTCTATTTCTTCGGGCCCCATTTCTCAGGCATCAAGCATCCTCTACTGCCAGAGACGCTAGACATGCCACTGCCAGAGCTGGAGAAACTCGCGACGGTTGCGACTCTCGATGTTACATTTCATGACAAGGAAAACAAGGTGGGAGCAAAGTTACGGTATGGGAGGCGCAAGCACAAAAGTCTTGTCAGTCGGGTTGCTTCTTGTGCATCACAGATAGCCTACGTTTGCCATTACATCTCTATTTCTCTTCACCCCGTGTGATTGGCTCTTTCCATTACTCTACTGTCACAGATCTTTCACTCTGTAGTATAAACTTCTCAGTTCCATTTCAAAATGTAGACATACATACACATGTGGGTGCATTGACTATTGTCAAGCCAGCAATTTGAACTCATAAGAGCATTCAAATTGTGCATGTTAGCTTATTGGTTCAGCCAAAGCCAAAATTTTGCCCTGCTTGTCTGAAGCTGAGACGGGTCCTGTTCATGCCTACCTTGATTTAATCCATCGCTGTTCTCTTCTTTGTTTGAGATTGTTGGTTTTCAAGTGTCAATGCACAAAATTCAGCTCTACCGGCAATTTACAGTCGCAGATGTGCTTGCACAATTGAAGACAAAGGTAATGCCGGTGAAAGTATCTCTGGAAAGCACTCAAGAGAGCGGCAATGATTAACATGAGCGTAACTTGTAGCAGCACATGAGCTCTTAATCTAGAAAACTCATTTCTGATTTTCTTACACTTCCATGAGATGGTGGTATATTCTCAAAAGGTTTGAATTGCTGTACCATTCAATCACTCTTAGGTGTAACTCTTTCTTTTGACCAGTCCAAACAAATCCCAGTTGCTGGCTGTCCTGTCCTACTGCCAGGTAGAGCTCTCTCACCCGGAAGTACAGCTGCGGCTGCTGGGGGTTTTCCCTGACAGGATATGCCAGATTTTGCCACACACTGAGAAGATTGAGAACATTGATACCCAGAAGTGGACCATTCATGCTGAAGAGGTGAGCACAGCAGCACATCGTTTGTGGCACACCTATGGGGGTGCATCAAACCCGAACATGTACCCTCCAATGTTCAGACAAAACCGGGTGATTACTTCTTGGTAAGAGGAAACGCAGCTTTGATGTTTGATTATTCTGAGTCCCGTCCTGATCAATCACTCCACTTGTTCAGTTCGAGTCACACCTCACTGGGCCCTCAGTGTGAGCCTTTGGTCCGATCCCATGCCTTGGTGCTGGAGGATGGGATGGGACCATCCATTGCCATCATTCCACGGTTGTAGTGAGTCCATTGGAATGATGCCAATGGACGATGTCACTTGATGCCATGATTTTGATAGCATCGTATTTGTTTGCTGCTACTCACATGGAATCACTAGGCGATGGATGGTAGTTGATGATTTTCTGCTTATCTTAGTCTCCTTACCTGACTGAACTCTGGTTGCTGCTCATTTTTGGCAGGTACAGAGTCCCTGAGTGGTGTTTGGGCAGCACTGGAAGAAAGGGAGAAGGTTGTGAATGCTAAATGCTCCTGGCATCAAGGATTGCAGCAACTTAGTTTGGGGGGTGGGGTAGTGCAACAGTACAATGGAAGCGAGGCTGAAGTAGCATGCAAAACCATGGTGGCAGGCAGGCTTATTAGTGTCAATTGGCATAAGGTTGGGGTTGCTGTAATATACTCTTCAAATTCCAGTTGCTTGCGGTACTGGCAGTAGGGTGACATGTCATGGATTGTTGGTTGGCATGTGGGGGGAGTGGCACAGGCATGTGCAGCAGTGGAGGGAGGGGGAAGATGAGGAAAAGCAGCAGTGGCAGCAGCAGAGGCAGGGGGTATGAAGCAGGCGCTTGTGAGAGAACAGGTGGTCTGTTCTGTGGGCATCACAGTGCTGAGCTGGTACTGTTAATTTTATGGGGTTGGTGGATGGGAACTTCCCCTAAACGCGACGGATTCTGATCAAACGGTGCCCTTGAAAGGGGAAATGTCTTGAATATAATACAAATAGCATACCGGTAGACTTCAATATATTAAAATCGTGGCCTTTAGTTTCATCTATACTCAAATAGCTATTGGAAATTTCACGATCGTTGATACACTCAAATACACTAAATACCTCTCCGAGAACGATTGAACCGCCAAATGATGCCTAACCTGGTCTCCCCCTCCTCCGCTGCTCCCGTGATAACCACTTCGCCGCAGCCTGTTCGCACCGACACCAGTCAGTTTGCACCGACATTTTTCCACTAGGCTATTCGTTACGTCGCTTAAATTAACAGCGCCAAATCAATTCCCGCTAGTGCTCCGACCGCAGGGTTCCCGCTATCGTCGTTAGCGCGGTCACCAGCGATGCGTACGGCATCGCGGCCGCTTTTCTAGGCCCGCCGCAGATAGTAGGCTCCGTCCTTCGTTATCCTCGTTAAAAGCCGCAGCCACATTCGCTAGAAACGACGACCATGGCAGGGCAGTCGTCGCACTCGTCGCATTCGTCGCAGTCGTCGCAGGTGGCGGTGATGGTGGTGGCGGCGCTCGCGCTAGTGGCGGCGGGCTACTACGTGGGCAGCACGGGGCTCGCCGCCGCGCCCTCGTCGCTGCTCGACTCGTTCGTTCATTCGAACAAAGCCGCCGCTGACGCCCTCACGGGTACGCGGGGGGGAGGGGAGGGGGGAGGCGGGGGGGGAGGGGGAATCATGGTAGCGCTCGCGCTGGTGGCGGCGGGCTACTATGTCGGCAGCACAGGGCTCGCCGCTGCGCCCTCGTCGCTGCTCGACTCGTTCGCCCGCTCCAACAAAGCCGCCGCTGACGCCCTCACGGGTATGCGCGAAGGGGGGGGTAGGGGGGGGGGGGGGGGTGGGGGGTCGGGGGGGGGGGGGGGGAGGAGGGGGGTCGGTGGAATTATGGGTGGATAGAGACTGAACGAGAAAGGGGAAAGCAGTCGTTGGGTGGGAGTGCGCATGGGAAAGGAGAAAGGGCAATCATGGTCGGGGGTATCCCTCTCACGCTGAACCTCTCGTCGCTGCTCGACTCGTTCGCTCGCTCCAACAGAGCCGCCGCTGACGCCCTCACGGGTATGCGTCGGGGGGCGTCGGGAGAATGGGGCGGAGATAAATCAAAAGGGAAGGAGGGTGGATGTGTTTGCGAGTGTCGGGGCGGGGGGGTGAGTCAGAAGGAAAGCGCCTTTTGAGACGTCTCAAAAGGGAAGGAGGGCGTGGATGTGTTTGCGAGTGTAGGGGATTGGGTGAGAAGGAAAGCGCGCACGGCTGTGGCACAGCTGGCTGGCAGTTGCAGCCTCACCCCCCTCCCTTGCGCCTGCTGCTGGCGCCAATCGCTGGGGAAAAATGGAGAAGGGGGGGTGGGGGAAGGGGAGGGGGGGTGGGGGAAGGGGAGGGCGGGTTGGGGTTGGGGGTGATCTGGGGCGAGCGAGTGTGGGGTTTGCGCGTTGGGTGGGAGTGCGCATGGATCTAAGGGTGGCTTAGCCCTAATCGAACGTTACAGAGGGTGCATGGGAAGGGGGCGTGTGGGCATGCGTGGACGATACCCTTCCGAATTTGCCAAACAGAGTGATTGCTTGCCGAATGCTCGTGCACATCGTTTGCAGCAACTGGTGCATTCTAGGCAAGCATGCACAGGTGCGGTCAATTACAAATCTTTTCGTTTCTCCTCTGACCTCGCCCCTTCCAGCTACTTCAAATCGCCTTGTGGCCTTGTAGCCTTGTGGCCTTGTGGCCTTGTAACCTTGTAACCTTGTAGCCGACCGCCTGTTTTCCTTCAAGCCAGCTTCAGCATTCATGTTTTTCGCCACCTTTTTCTCCATCGCTCCCTCCCTCCACACTGCTTCAGGGTTATGTTGACTCCTACGCTGTTCTGTGTCCCATTGTACCCTGAAGCATGGTACGCTTCAGGGTTATGTTGACTCCTCCCACGGACAGGGTTATGTGACGTACCCTGTCCTTAAGAGGAGTTTGTGGAAAAGGTGCAGTCCCTGTGATTTATCTCACCTCCACATACCTTCTTCGTTGTCAAAATCATCTGTGAAACATGTTCCTTTTCTTTGCCATTGGCCCCATAGTTCCCTCCCTCCCGACAGACTCACAGACATGCACATGCAGCAGAAGAAACAGCAGTTGCAGCATGCCAAAGTGCATCGCCAGTCACTCCCTGGTGTGTTTCTCCTTTGCGACTCCGTATCCTTTCCCTTTCCCCATGTCCTCCCAACTCCGCACTCCCTGTTCGCCCCAAACCCTCAGTGGCAGCGCAGGAGGAGGAGGAAGCAGCAGTGGCAGCAGCAGAGGAGGAGATTCTGAGCGAGGAGGAGGCGCTAGACGCACCGGACCCGCGAGCAGCCGTGAACGAGTCCGACCCCGCCGTGCTGCGCGTGATTGCCGAGAGGCGCAGGCGCAGGGAGGCGGCGCGGCAGAAGTACAAAGAGGAGCTGCTGGCGATGGTGAAGGAGGTGAAGCAGGCGGCTGCTGCGCCGGGCGGGCTCAAGGAGGAAGAGACGGTGGCGGATGTGTCGAACGTGCCGCTGCAGTATGGTGCCACGGAGATCAGTCAGCTGGGGGAAGTGGTGGGGAAGGGGGGAGGAGGTGAGAAGGGAGGGAGAGCGGATGCGAAAGGGGTGACTGGGGGTGCTTCTGAGGATGTACATGGTCCTTCAACAAAGAAAAGGAGACTACGTTAGGTTAGGTAGGCGGTGCTTCAGGTTGCTCAAGTAGTTATGGTGGTATAATTTGTCAATAAGGACCTGTGCTAGGATGTTGGTCATCACGAGCCGTGAGTGCGATGCGAACTAAAAAATATAAACCACGGCTATGAACACATTCATCCTTTTTTTGCCCCAACCCGGAGTCCACCGTAGTGGGGTTCAGTGCCTATTTCATCAGTGTAAGAAATACTGTTGGCTGCTAGACAAAGCAACTCCCTTGGGAACATGGACACAATCCAATGCCATGTAGAGGTGTGTGCATGCATAGGAGTTACGGTAGCTGTAATTTTCGGATATATTAGCTGGGTTTTGTTGTGTAGAAACATGTAGAAAAGCCCAACGCTTCAATCCGAAAGTCATCTCGAACTGTAATCGCTCCCGTATCACCCGCCGCTCCTCACGCCTAGCCCCTCACCTCACCCGCGCTCCGCACACCCGCCTCCCTTTACAAATTACTCTCATCACGCTCACTCCGGCTCGCGTTCATTCGCCACCGTTTCGCACAGCACGCCCCATCTCGCCCACCCGATCTCCGTTTCGTGAATTTCGTTAACATTCGCCCTTCATCTACGCCCTCCCACCTCTGTCGTTCGTCAACTCCCTCCTTGGCTCCCACCCGTCTCTCGAGGCGCCTCATAAGTCGACGCCCGTCCGTTCTCTCGTTATCCCCTGTGCCGTTCTTTCCGCGCGAATCGGCTTTAAGCGGAACATCCGCTCGAGGGAACAGTGGAGGCTGGCGAAGGGGGGGAAAGGGGGACGAAAGGAAGGGAAAAGCAGAGTCTTCTCCTCCCATCCTCTCTCTCGTGTTCCCCGTTGCCGTCATCTCCATTCTGTGCGAATCGGCTCTAAGCGGAGCAGCCGTTGAGGGAACAGTTTAGGACGGAGAGGGAGGGGAAAGGGGGACAAAAGGAAGGGGAAAGCAGAGACACGGAAGTAGGGCGGGAACACGGTCACGGAAGAAACGCCGAGGTTAAAGGCGAGGTGGCGAGGCGAGGTGGCGAGGCGAGGCGAGGAGAGGAGCGGAGGAGGGGCAGTAGGGAAGCCTTCGCTGAGTGCTGGACGAGAGAGGGAGCCTGATTGTGACTGTTCTGGTCGGTCGAGGGTACATTCACATCCCATCCCATCCCTGCATGGTTTAGCGTATTGAGCGACGATGATCCGTGCGCTGCGCATGGTGCGCGACGCGTTGTGAGGCGCCTTCAAACTAGACGCAGTAGAAGGTGCATTCACATCCCATCCCATCCCATCCCTCCATGGATTAGCGTATTGAGCAACGATGATTCGCGCGCTGCGCATGGTGCGCGACGCGTGGGTGTTCTTCACAGGCCGGCAGGACTCGGAGCTGGTGCGGCAAACAAAGAGGCTGCAGTTCGAAGCCGCAAAGGTGAGACATATAATAAAGAAATCGGCAAGGAGTGGTGAGGGCCGCTTGTGTGGGATGGGCGCGTGGGTGTTCTTCACGGGTCGGCAGGATTCGGAGTTGGTGCGGCAAACGAAACGATTGCAGTTCGAAGCTGCTAAGGTGAGGATGGCCAAAAGCAATGTGCTCGAGATACCCACATGCGAGGAATCGGGTTCGGTACAAAGCGGTGAGGACTGGTGAGGCTGCAGGTCGAAGCGGTCAAGGTGAGACGCGCACACACGCAGGAGCACACGCACAGGAGGGCATCTGATTCAATAGCACATGGGATGCACGCCTGGATGATTTTCACGGGCCGGCAGGAGTCGGTGCTGGTGCGGCAGACGAGGGTGTGGTTCGAAGCTGCCAAGATGAGTCGTGGGGCATTGTACCGAGCCGGTCGTGGGATGCATCGTGCATGCGTAGTTTCACGGGCCAGCAGGACCCAGCTGAGGGCTGTGCGGGTGCCACTGCAGCAGGTGGTGGGTAGCTAGCGTTTGGTTGCTTGCTGACTCTCTTTGCACCGATCTCTCTCCCCCCCGCTTCAGCTGAGAGCCCTGCGCGTGGTACAGCAGCAGGTGGTGGAAGGGGGTTAGGGGAGTATCCCTTAAGATGGTGGTAGAAGAGACAGCTCTGGAGCATGTGAGGCGAGTGATGGGGTGGGGGGAGATGCAGCAGCAGGTGGAGGAGGGGACACCCTCTCACTCTCTGTTGCTTCAGTTCCTCCCCTCCTCTTTTCCAATCTCATCCCCACTCCCCGCAGCTGAGAGCTCTGCGCGTGGCACAGCAGCAAGTGGTGGAGGAGTCAGCTTCTCACTTACATCGTCTTGCCTCTCTTTGTTCATTCTTCGTGTCCCTCCCCACCCTTCCCCATTCAGCTGAGAGCTCTGCGCGTGGCACAGCAGCAAGTGGTGGAGGAGACGGCTCTGGAGCATGTGAGGCGGGTGGTGGGGTGGAATTTGGTTTCTCACTGTAATTGTCTCTGTTTGACTCTTTTTGTTTGTGCCCTGCACCATGCAGCTGAGGGCCCTGAGAGTGGCACAGCAGCAAGTGGTGGAGGAGACAGCGTTGGAGCATGTCAGGCGGGTGGTGGGGGAGATGGATCAGCTGAAACAGCAGCTCGATGGCATGGTAAGGAGTGGTGGTTGGTGACAAGTGGATTGAGGGTGGTGGAATACGGTATAAACTGACCTTTCTTCAGAATGTGAGGCGGATCGGATGGTGGGGAGATGCAGCAGCTGAAGCAGCAGCTGGATGGCATGGTGAGGGGAAGTTAAAGGGAATGTGGACGGTGTATGGTGGGGGTAAGGATGACTATATCATATTGAGGATGTGAGGCGGGTGGTGGGGGAGATGCAGCAGCTGAAGCAACATCTCGATGGCATGGAGAGGAGAAGTTGGATGGTGTATGGTGGGGGTAAGGAGGACTAGGTCATATTGAGGATGTGAGGCGGGTGGTGGGGGAAACGGAGCAGCTGAAGCAGCAGCTTGATGGCATGGTGAGGGGTGGGGTGGGGGCATGGTGAGGGGTGGATGGGGGTATAGTGTGGGGTGGTGTGATGGTGAGGGTGGTGGGATGGTGTGGGGTGGTGGGATGGTGTGGGGTGGTGGGATGGTGAGGGTGGTGGGATGGTGTGGGGTGGTGGGATGGTGAGGGTGGTGGGATGGTGTGGGGTGGTGGGATGGTGTGGGGTGGTGGGATGGTGAGGGTGGTGGGATGGTGTGGGGTGGTGGGATAGCGGTATCGTAGGTGGATAGCACTCAGGTTGCAGGGCTGTCTCGAAACACAACACTTTCCTTGTAACACACTCACACACACGTCAGAAAACCATTTCTAGCAGCTGCCGTCCACGTGGCAGGAGGAGGCAGCAAAGGCACTGGCAGAGAGTGTAGCGGAGCAGGCTAAAACGAGGATGCAGCAGGAAGAGGAGGCGGATGACAGGCGGTTGTTGCAGACTATGGATCAAACAGCGTTAGAAAGGCTGCTGGGGTATGGGAGAGAGGAGAAGGATGGCAGTAAGGATGGCGGTGGGAGTGGCAAGTGATAGGATGCAGAAGGTTGGGGAGGAGGATGCAGCAGGAGGAGGAGGAGGAGGATGAGAGGCGGTTGCTGCAGATTATGGATCAAACAGCGCTAGAAAGGCTGCTGGGGTATGGGAGAGAGGAGACGGGCGCGAGTGGGAAGCAGGAGAAGGATGGCGGTGGGAGTGGCAAGTGATAGGACGCGGCAGGAGGGGGAGGATGCGGCAGCAGGAGGAGGAGGAGGAGGATGACAGGCGGTTGCTGCAGACTATGGATTAAACGGCACTGGAGAGGCTGCTGGGGTATGGAAGGGAGGAGACGGGCGTGAGTGGGAAGCAGGAGAGGGATGGGGGTGGGAATGATAAGTGATAGTGCGGCGATAGGGCAAGGCACTTATGGGTCAGAAGGCAAAAGAAGAGGTGTTGGGGTATGGGGTGGAGAACTGTTGGGGTATGGGGTATTTGATGTGTAAACAATATTATACTCTGCTATATAATATCTGATGACCCCTATCCATATGGTTTGGAAACATACATAAGCTATTTTATTTAGAGACTCTACATTGGATTTGAGCTTAAAGTACCATGTCAAGGAATGCCATACGCGGAGTTATTATAAACAATTGCGAAGTGTTCTCTTAAGTGCAGGGCCCTAGATATCAGCCTTTTTACGCTGATTCAGCGTTAGATCTAACTTTTTTTTTTAACACTAGGCTGAATCCAAAGTTTTTTGTTATGTACCTTGGCTGATTTTTCAGTCTTTTTTTTTATCCATAGCTGTTTTTTCAGCCTTAATGCATGAGTGTAGGCTGAGCATTCAGCCTTGTATAGGAGGTGCACTCTGAAACCGGCATTACAGTGATTTCCGCCAGCCTGGCGAAGTGTATGACTAAGGGCGCGTCCCCTCCCTCGATCGATCGCGAGATCGCCGTGAAAAACCGATCGGGCACACCGATCGCAGGATTGGGGCAGGATTGGTAGGAGGTGACAATCGCGGATCGATCTCGAGCCCAGGGTGACAGGATCGGAAATACAAGGGGGAAAAACTCTCGATCCTACAAAATCCGATATCGGTGTGGCCACGAAGGCACATTGATCGTCATCAGCGGAGGTGACAAGATCGTTAGACACCATGTACTGTACATTCGCAAGCCATCTCGAAATATGGTTACCCTGTCAATTGCGATGCTACAGTGACAGTGTAGCTGTCCCTGGATCGATCGAGGGAGGGGACGCGCCCTAACACCGTCAATTCGGGCGGGAAACCGAATTTTCCCCTGCGCGGCACCGCGCAGTCACGTTGGTACAGCAAAGGTGTAATCAGCTGCAAATCCGGCCAATCGGGGTTGCACAGCAAGCAGCGTTGGCAAGATTCCTTGCCAACGCATAGCTCGCAGCGCACTGCGCCCCGCACGACACCACAACCATCCACCCCACCCCACCTTCCCTGCACACACGACCAGGTGACGTGCATGCAGGGACCACCAGGGTGATGAGAGGTCTTAATACGAGGACCTCCCATCGCTTCCTCATCCCCAACGTTCAAGCCAGGGTTTCTATCGCCTGCCTCGCTCGCTTCAGTTCAATGCCCACCCCTGATCCTGCTGCCTGAACCTTTGTTTCAGGATGCTTCTCCCGCCCTCGCAAAAATTTGCTCGGCAGCCTCAATGGCAGCCACAGACGCGGCCGCCGAAGGGCCTGCCGATGACGACGATGCTTATCGTCGCCCTGTAGTCGACATGGTGACCGGCCATAAACTGCCAGCACCACCGTCGCTACCCAGCTCGAGTCACGCTCCGTTTTCCACGCACTCCGATCCTCTGCCCGATGCCGCCACTGAACCTGTGACATCTACGCCGATAACAGAGGTACATGAGGCGTCCGTCGAAGCACCATCCCCCATCGCGCCACCGACGAAGTTGCGGTACCGCCAGTCTACCATTGCATGGGCAACTCCACCACCTGCCTCGAATGTTGAAGCTCCAGTTGGGGAGGACTCTCCTATGCAATGTAGCTCCAGGCCCGTTCCCGAGAATCAAGAGTTGAAATATGAAGAAGCGCATGATCGTTGCAAAACTCGCTGGTCTACAGATTACCCATGGCTGATTCTGACTAAAAAATCTGTTGGTGCCCCTACTTTTAAGTGCAGCGTATGCACGGATTTTGCTGGATTGGCAGGCAGATGTGGACGGCATGGAGAAGGCGCTACCGACGTGCAGACGCAGGCCTTCAAGAAACACGCCGGGACTTTGAAGCATCGGTTTGCCGTCCAGAGGCAGGACGACTTGTTTCAGAAAGTGGCGGGACAACGGCGCATCGATCTACACCCCAAAGCACAGGACAAGGAGATGGTGCAGCTGTCGGCTCTCATGGACTCGCTGTACTTCATGAGCAAGTGCAACGAGCCCATGGACTCGTGGATTCGGCTAATGCGCTACCTGGCGATCAAGAAGGTGCCCGGTTTTCCTGAGCAGGGCTACGGTACATATTACAATATGTAAGTATATTTCTTTGAATAGTATGTACTAACTATCGCTCAAAATTTTGGCTGACTAAGCCGTTTCTTGATTGTAACATGTACGACTTTGGTCAACTCACACAAGCAATCGCGACATGGCTTCAAACCACGCAGCTGGAGCACCTCCTAACGAGCCCCTTCATTGGGATCACGCTGGATGAGAGCACCGACAGGCGTCGCGGCAAACACATGATTGTGTTTGCCACTTTCCTGCGCGACGGTCTTATCGTCACCGAGTTTATCGCTTTGCCCACAGTCGAGAAAGCTGACGTAGCATCCTTGTTGAGCTTGTTGCTCTCCCACCTCAGGGCATTCGGCGTTGATCTCCGCCGTATCTTGGGCATCAGCACAGACGGCGCAATGGTCATGGTGGGGCCCCAAAGTGGAGTGGTTGCACGGCTCTGGATGCTCATCCCCAACCTCGTTTTGTTCCACTGCACCGCACACCGGTGCGTTGATTGTTATTGGTAATCTATCTTGTATACATCTAACTGTTTGTGTTGTATGTTGTGCAGAGGCATTGGCTGCGAAGGCTGCAGCAGAGGCCATCCCCACCTTCACCATGGTCGACGACATGATCCGAGCCGTCGCTGAGTACCTGGGGCGTTCAGGGCCGTGGCATCAACGATTCATGGAGCTGCAAGAGGTTTTCACAGCCACGAACCTCGAAGTCCAAGGAATACACGACATTAGATGGCTGTCGAAGGGTGATGCCGTCGCGCGGTTCGTCGAAGTCCTGCCCAACCTCGTTGTCATGCTGTCTGAGTGGAAGGACAGGACGTTCTACGAGCTCATCACGTCACATCGCTTCCAGTTCCTGCTCAGGTTTCTTGCGGACGATCTGGAACTGCTCAACGTCCTCTCCAAGGTGTTCCAGCAGCGCGAGGTAAGTGACGTGTATGTCTTTAAATGTTTGTCTACGTTTAATGTACATAGAAACTAACTACCAAAGTGATTTGTGTGTGGCAGGTCAACTACGCCCTGGTGCATGCGCAGATTGCGCGCACTACCTCTGTCCTGGAGAGCCGATACGTCGACTGTGGCGATGATTTGGGGGGGGGGGGGGGGCAACGAGCGGCTGTACCACTTCATCGCCAAGCATGGACCTGAGGGGTCGCCGCTGATGGTGGTGGAAGGGGCGTCGTCTGACGGCAGCATGAACCGCTTCACCTTCACCCTCCACGAGTGCACGATCGAGCGGTATCGTGGACTAGGGCATCATGACGCGTGCGTGGCGCTCTGCACCGACATGGCCGAGCTCCTCGTCAAGAACCTGCAGACAAAGCTCGGTGACCTCGACTCGCTTTCCGGCGCGAGGCTGTTCACCCCGAACCTGTGGCCACCGAACTGGGAGCGGCATGCACGGCAGGCACAGTGCCTGGAGTAGCTGATGTCGCTATGCACTCTGTTTCACGCTGATGACTCCCCCGAGATCCTACCAGGTTAGTATTTTTTTAGATTGCAAGCTCCACTAGTCATTGAAAAGCTGGCATGCACTAATCTCCTTCACTGTTGTCTTGCAAGCATTGACAAGAAACGGGCTGTGATGGAGCTGAGGACTCTGTGCCCGGTCCTGGCCAGAGCTCCTAAGAGCGAGCGGAAGTTTCATGCGGGATTGAGTGCCATCCTAAAAACTCCCGACTGGCAGCAGGCATACCCCAACCTTGTAGGCCTATGGGTGGCGGTTGCAGTCCTGCCTCTTAGCACCGTTGAGTGTGAGAGAGGCTTTTCTCGACAGAATCTTATTAAAACGTGGCAGAGAGGTAGTATTAAGGACTGCATGCTTAGTGACCTCTTGTGCTTGTCATTCCTGGACTACGAGCTAGACTTGCCTGCAGTCGAAGACATTTGGCGCAGCTATAAGAAGCGCCGGCCTGTCACTGCACCTGTCGCAAGACACAAGGAGCCTTCAAGGGCTTGGAAGGCCCCTGTAGAGGGTGATGATGTAATGGAGCGTGCTCCTGCACTATCTCTGAACTCGGACTTTGACTCAGATACGTAGGTAGGATATGTGTAGAGGGTGATGATGTAATGGAGCGTGCTCCTGTACTATCTCTGAACTCGGACTTTGACTCAGATACGTAGGTAGGATATGTAATTATGTAGTTTGTTTTCAAAAATCATTATCAGCCTTTGTTTTACATGTAACGCTTAAAGTTCAGCGTAAATATATAGCCTTGACTGATTTTTCAGCCCAGAAACTTGGGGCGACGCTGACTCACAGAGTTACAACAGGGGTGAACGCTGGTCGATTAGCGTGCCCTGAAATGAATCTAGGGGCCTGCTTAAGTGATCCCGGTTTCAGTGCCATGGGCAAAACAAGGGGAAAATATGCCATTCACAATATATAGATCTAGCTAGCCATGTACTCTAAGGGGTACATTCCCTTATCATTACTGTAATACACGCATTGCTACAGTACCCGCGACTATTGCGCTCCTTTAGTTACTTGGTTGCTGCTTATAACTGTAGAGAAAGTTACGCCTGTTGCAATTCCTCACAAGTAACCATTCGGCCCAGGACAGTCAACAGTCGCGACAGTTGACTTACGACTGTTGACCTGTGTGCCCTATATGGGCTAACACGCTAAACCCTAAACCCAGGTGCTGCTTCGATAGCATCAGGTGCGATGCTGCTGCACCTTCGGGATGCTCAAGGTAATCCCCTCTTTACTCCAACACTCCCATTCGTTCCTGAGGGTGTGCCACGTGGCTCTTCTTGACGACTCCGCACAGGTCCACGCAGTACTGAAATTTATGACGTGGAATTTTATTCGTAAGGAAATCAGCTGCCATTTCGCCAGTTGGGCAGTAGGTGAGCTGGACCTTGCCCTTGTTGATTTCGTTCTTCACGAAGAAGTAATGGAGGGCAATGTGTTTCATGCGGTTGACGAAGCCGGGTTTGTTTGCGAATTTGATCGCGCTCTGGTTGTCGCACTGTAACTTGGATGACCCGTGCATCGCCGGTTTCGTTTCGTGCAGGAGCTCCGTCAGGTAAAGGCCTTCGAGAACTATGCACTGGTTGCAATGAACGCAGCATCGGCTGACGAGAGGGCGATGAGCTCCTGCTTCTGGGAGTTCTAGGAGATGGTTCTTGTGAGGATCGATAGGATCGAGTTCAAAAAGTAAACTATGAATCCTGGGTACAACTACGGGGCTATATAAAGGCACAAAACAACGCCAGTAACCAGGATGTTACGAGAAGGTTCCGAGGGCCACGAAGCGTCCCAAACGGGTCCTTCCCAAATTCGTTAGAAGCCTCTCGGTAGAAACCGAAAAGCACCGAATTCTGTGCATGTAACTAGTTCGGTGCCTATAGATATAAGAATTATGTCAGAATGCTATAATTGTCAAGTCTGCAGTGGGGTACTCTATAGTGAGTACAGCCCAAATTAGGGTTTGCTATATGTATCCTATCTGCTGCTAGTGCAATCCCCTTTTTCTGTTTCTAACTTTCTGCTAGCGTTTCTCGACATGCTATCAGAGCGAGAACGCTCCTGGCATGTGGGCCCACGTGCTTCCACTGCTGTCCTGCCTATCGCGCGCCCGGGGCGCGCGACGTTTTCTGCCTGCCGCGCGCCCGGCGCGCGCGGCGTTTTTTCTTCCCGCCGCGCGCTCGGGGCGCGCGGCGGTTTTCTGCCCGCCACGCGCGCGAGGCGCGTGGCGGTTTCCTGCCCGCCGCGCGCCTCGGGCGCGCGCGGCGGTTTCGTCGCCCGTCGCGGCGCCCCGGGGGCCCGCGCGCTGTCCCCTCCCGTCGCCCGTCGCGGCATCCCGGGGGCCCACGCGCCGCCCCCTCCCGTCGCCCGTCGCGGCGCCCCGGGGGCCCGCGCGCTGTCCCCTCCCGTCGCCCGTCGCGGCGTCCCGGGGGCCCGCGCGCCGCCCCCCTCCCGTCGCCCGTCGCGGCGCCCTGGGGGCCCGCGCGCCGCCCTGCCCGTCGCCCGTCGCGGCGCCCTGGGGGCCCGCGCGTCGCCCCCTCCCGTCGCCCGTCACGGCGCCCTGGGGGCCCGCGCGTCGCCCCATCCCGTCGCCCGTCGCGGCGCCCTGGGGGCCCGCGCGCCGCCCTGCTTCCGCTCGCACGCAGCCCCAGCTGCTGCCCGCGTATCTGCCCCGCGCCGCACGTGAACCGCCTGCGTTGGGGGTATGGGGGTGGCGGGTGTGTGAGCCGTCCCCTGCTCCTCCTCCTCCTCCGTCTCCCACTGCTGCAGCTGCCGCTGTGGGGGGTGGGTGTGTGGGAGCCGAGGGAGTGGAGCTAGGGGGGTGTCGTGGGAGTGGAGCTAGGGGTGCAGCAAGGGGTGTGTGAAAGGGGTGTGGGACAGTTGGGGGAGGTTGAGAGGAGGTAGCCGTCGTGACGTCAGCAGCGCCAGTAGTCCGGGGCCCTTGCTCCGGTAGCCCAGCGAGCCTGCTGCGCCAGTCGCCCGTGGATCCGTTGCTCCTGCCGCTCGTCTTAGCCTCGGAGCCAGCTACTCCTATAGTCCGGTGCCGTGCCCTTGCTCCGGTAGCCACCGTGTGCGCCGCTCCTGTTGCCCGTGTGTCTGCGGCTTCACCCGTCGCCTCCTATCTCCACTCCTCTCACAGTCCCTCCTCCTCCTCACTTGCCCTCTGTGACTGCCTCTAGCTTTGCTTGTGCTTGTGAACTTCTTATGCGACTGCTTGCTGTGCTGATCATACCCCACTTTGCCTATGGGGGTGTGTCAGAATGCTATGATTGTCTAGTCTGCAGTGGGGTACTCTATAGTGAGTACAGCCCAAATTAGGGTTTGCTATGTGTATCCCATCTGCTGCTAGTGCAATCCCCTTTTTCTGTTTCTAACTTTCTGCTAGCGTTTCTCAAAAAATTATAGTTAAGTAACGAAATTAGGAAAACACGCATAGAAAATAGAAACAAGCAAGAAAATGCATGGCAAAATAAATATAGGTAAAGCTAGCCATCGTACTTGTCAAAGTAATAACTGGTGAATGCATGATGAAATCAAGGGCATACAAGGGTTGATATAGCAAACCCTAACCCTAGTGCTAAGACAAATGTAACACAATGTAGAACACCTAGACTAAACTAACAAACTATAACAATTTTAGTTTGACACACCCCCAAAGTCTAGGTGACGGTAGTCCTGTGGAAGGCAACACACAGTCTACGAGCAACGGTCACAAGACCAGTCCAGACGAACAAAACAAGGCTCGGGGTGGATCTCAAGATCACCACAGAGTCCGAGAACAAGCAAGAGGCCATATGGCCAGTCCACATGTAATGACATAGCAAATATAGAAGATGCAAGAATACAAGACATGCATGACAACCATCTCTACGAAAGCAAGGGGCCACAAGGCCAGCCGACAAACATATATATATGAGATATAATGAGATGCAAGAGTGCAAGACAAAGCATCTCTACGCAAGCAAGTGAGGGCCGGTAGACACAAGGCCTAGCTGGGTGCAGAAACGCTGGTGGTCACAAGGCGGCAACGCCTTGGTGAAGATATCTGCCGTGTTGGCCTCAGAGACCACACGTCGCACGAGTGCCTGGCCACGCTGCTGCAACTCTCGCAGAAGGAAGTAACGAAGTTGGATGTGCTTCGCCTTCCCAACCAGTCGGGGTTCCTCGCACAACAGGATAGCAGACCTGTTGTCGGCGAACAAGACTGGGGGAGAGCGAGGCCGCTCACCAAGATCGGTGAGGAGGAAAGACAGCCAGCGAAGCTCCTGGGAGGCCATGGCCGCAGCGTACACCTCAGCCTCACAACTGGAACTAGAGACGGACGACGCCCGAGCCGACCTCCACGAAACAGCTCCGGTCCCAAGGCCGAAGAAGTAACCTTGTGTAGACCGCAACGACTCTGTGTCGTCGGCCCACGACGAGTCCGAGAAACTTGTAAGTGTAACTGGCTGCTTCCCTCCAAGGACAAGTCCCATGCCGGATGTACTCGCCACATAGTTCGCCACCCTCTTAGCACCGTATTAGTGGGAAGGTCGGTGTCTCCCAGGCGCAACAAATCGTGCAAGGACGCTAAGAGGGTAAGCTAGGTCTGGGCGAGTACAAGTCATCAGGTACATGAGACAACCCACCAGCTCAGGATATGGACCACTGGACTCAAATGGCTCGTCCGAAGGTGGAGCCGTGAGCCCATGATCCACAGCAAGAGGGGTGGGCTGTACCTTGGAGAACGGGAAGCGAAACCGCGTGAGGATATGCTCGACCATATGCGACAGCGTCAGCGTAATGGTGCGAGCTGCCCTGTCCCTAGTGATCTGCAGGCCAAGGTAGCGCTGCAGCTCACCAAGGTCAGTGCAAGTGTGTCTCCTCTGCAGTTCCTCCTTCACGGAGGCTAGCACGCGACGGTCGGGAGTGGCGAAGACCAGGTCGTCAACGTAGACGAGAACAAAGAATAG